ATAGTTATTTAAATAGTAGTGTATAATTTATTTTCTTCTTTTTAGCGCATTATTACAAAAAAGCTTGTCATTATAACGTTTTTATGAAAAAAAATTTAGTACTTTACATGTTTTTATTTACAATAGAGTTACATGACTAAAAACCATTGCGCACCTATCGAACGTGATGACGCGCTATTGAACGTGTGGAGTAGTTGGATAGGCCTGCCTACTAATTAGGACAAATTTTTAATTAATTCATAAAAAAATTAATCGGCGACCAATTAAATCAAAGTGAATGTCATGATGCATTTTCTTCATTTCTTGACCCACGTACCAAATACAAACCGTATATGTCACGCTCTCCTTTATAGTTATTTAAATAGTAGTGTATAATTAATTTTCCTTTTTTACTTTCTCATATATACGAAGTATAGAGAAAGTCTTGTAATCGTGCAAAAAAATAACATGAAATTTTGACAGTTTTCACCGTTTTACACCTCACTGATACGGAAAAACATAATTTTGCAATCTTGTCCGTATGTCTGTGTGTATGTCTGTGTGTCTGTAAACACGATAACTTGAGTACCGTTACAGCTAGGTTGATGAAATTTCATATATAAGTATTTTATCAAAATCGTAGATGCGTATCAACTTTTGAGCGATTTCCAATAACCGGAAGTGGTACTTCTTTTACTTTGATATTTTCAAAAGCCTATAACTTGAGTAATATATTTCAGATAGATAAATGAAATTTCACACGTAAGTAAAAGATCTAATGCTTTACCTTCTACCAAATTTTGATTAATTTCCGTTGACCGGAAGTACTAATTTACGCTATTTCCGATTTCTCAAAAAACGCATGTAAATTAATAAAGTACTAATAATATTCCGCACTATTATGCACGTTTTATTTGGCGTTCACAGAAGTGCAATTCTTTTTTTCTACGAGATTTTATTCTATTTTAAAAAGTTTAAGTATTTAAAATGGATTAAAATTCATGTCTATATCCCAAGTTCCCATCCCCTGTTTATTTATATAAGAATATTCGAGAAAGTTTAGGGGAGATCACTCCCGGTTTATTTTAGTGCATTATTACATAAAAGCTTGTTATTAAAACGTTTTTTTTTAAATTTTACAATAGAGTTTCATGACCAAAAAATATTGCGCACCAAGATGAACAAGATAATGCGTGTACCGTACAATAGTGTGGAAAGAGTAGTACAAGATTGCAAACTGATTTCGGAAAAATTTAATTAATTCATAAAAAAAGAATTTTTTATCCATTTAAGTCAAATTTAATGTCAGGTTGCATTGTCCTTAAGTCTCAAGCTTCTGTCGCGTTGTGTTATTTCAGACCAAAAGTCCGTGAGGATGAAGTAGAGTTCACCTGTTTATGTATCATGGTCAGCACTGTTCCCATTTTGTTGGACAAGGTCCAAACAACCATACATATTTGTGAATTCTACACCCCCCTCCTACCCAGTCTCATCTTGTACAACAAAACTTTGTGGTGAATCTAGTGCACGTATGTACACAGTTAATAGGGAAAAAACTAATAATTCCCGGGAAAAGTCGGTTATTTTACTAATAAAAACTATTATGTATTACATGTAAGTACTACACTTTTCTGGTATTTCTTTGTAAATATGGACTTGAAAGTCAATCAGTCCGCTTGAACTTATCTTATAAAGGCTCTTATTTTAAAACTTACATAATCGTGAGGAAAAAATAATAACAAATAAACAATATAATTTTAACACACTTTAATTAACAATATAAACAATTTAAATACAACTTAAATAGAATACAAAACGTACACAAAATGAATGACATTTTTTTTCAAGCATTACGAGCTAAGTACTTGACGGCCTACTCTAGCGTTGACACGTGTTTGTGTCTTTAGCTGGTCATGACACGCTATCTATCCATACGTCGTCAGATGACGTCACGCAGGCAGGTAAAAGACACCTTTTTTACGCGTACCTTGAGGGCCAACTTCAACAGGTGTACCAGGATCTACTTTCATTTCATGAATCTATTTTTAGAACGCGCAAGTGACTGGGTAACCTTTTGAATTTTAAAGACTCTCAACACTTACTCGTAAAGCTAAACACGAAAACATTGTACTGAGCTCCTTTGTGCTTTCAATGTTCAACCCATTATCATTAACATATCAGGGAGAACTTGATAAAGATAGTATCTATTTTCAATAAAGTGTAGGAGTTTGTCAATAAAGGGTAAGTAGATTTTAAATAAGACGCCGGTTTTTTTTTTTTTTGGAAAATTAAAATCATCCAATGCATTACCTTTCTAGCTAAATTGTTTAAATATTTTTCTAAAGCATGGAAAATAGTTGCAGGTCCTATTATTTGTTCATAACCATAATAAATGTGTTATGTTCTTTTTAAGAGTTGTGTTCCTTAAGTAATACGCGAATTCAGCATATTAGTGCCGAACTTTGTTATAAAATCAAAGTTGTATTTAAATTCATTTTTTTTTTACTCGAGTGTTTTTGTTGTTTTTTCCGTCTGGTGAACTAGTGAGCTGGCCACTTAAAGATGCCCATGAGAGCAGCATAGACTGTCCAAATCACGAGGGCGCTTATGGGCTGGTTACTTTTGCGACAGGAGTGCCGGGTGCAATATTAGTTTGACTTAGTCGTCAATTTTAGTAGACCACCGTATCGTAAATGTATGGCGCTTTTTAAAACGAACGAATTCGCCATATTGCTCATGGTAGAGACGCTCATGGTCACAACACCGCCAGACTGATCACTAATCAAATTAGTAACCCTGACCCCCATCGCAGGATATTTACTCAACAGAACCCATGTACTCAGGTAGCCGCTAGGGGGTAGGGGGCAACCTTACACTATTGCCACCCTGCAATATATATTTACTTTTCTACATTCAGACGCAATCCGTTCGTGTACTCAAAAACATCCCAAAGTATAATGCGATCGGATGAAATGTGTAGTTACGCATAAAAGACACGCAAACAGACACATAGATATAAATTCATTCATTTACATATAAATATAAATCATCTAGCACGGCGTCTGCATGCTACGTCCTTACTAGGCTTGTATGTATTCAGCGAAGAACAACCGCCTCTAAAACGAATCAACCTCATTAAACATACAGAAGTAGTATATATCGCTTTATATATATATATATATATATATATATATATATATATATATATATATATATATATATTGTATATATACATATATAAATATACATCTGCATATACATATATAGAGAGAGACCTATATATATATATATATATATATATATATATATATATATATATATATATATATATATATAATGTATGTATATACAATATAGGCGTAGGCCTATTCATGTATCTTACATATTCATATACATAAATTCTTTCTAAGCGTACCTGCTCATTTGTGTACTTATGCAAATTCTCGTAGATCTTAATACCATAATTATGTCTTTCCAAATTTGTGGAATTTGCTACATCAAATAAACCTAAATACCGAAAGATTGCGAAACTTGGCTGAAAAAATGAAACGCCTAGTTTAAATGATGGTAGAAGGTCGGGCCTGAGTTGCCTACCTTTTGTTGACCGTGTTTGCCAACAGCGTAACCTCCCTTGCACCTATAGTTTCACGTTTTTTCACTAAACCAAATATTTACAAAATATGTAACCGACTGTTTTTAAAGATGTCCAAAAGGCGTTTTTTTACGTAACCATAGCCACCCCTATGTTGACCTTGAACTGTCACCTTTTTTTTGTTGGGGTACAACAATAAGGATACAATACAATAGAGTATCGTAGCTTTACAAAATTCATACTTGGACGTACAATACACTTCATACATTTATTAGAGTTTTAGTTGTTTGTTTCTTAAAAATTTTGCGTTTAATTAAAACACTAATTTAAGACCCCAAGATTGTGTATTTTTTACAGGAAATAAAAATTTGAAAATTCATCTTAAATTAATTTGAAGATCCGCATTAAAATTTATTACAGAGTACTTAGAACTAGGTTAGAATATTATGAATACATACTTTATTAGGCTTAAAATGCAATACCTTATTAACTGTGTAAAACCTACGAATTGGTTATTTTTCATCAGTTTACCAAAGAATCCGCCACCAATAACATGGAAACAAATGCTGTCAGTGTTTCTTCCAAAACATTTTCTCCGGGAGGGCACTTAATATTTTCGGGGGGGGGGGGGGGGCGAACAACATTTGTCGGGGCCGACGGAAACTGGTAAAAGTATATGTTTTCTATATAAATTCCATTTCGTTCGGGGGGGGGGGTAGATTTTCTTCACCACTACCCCCCCCCCCCCCCCACACCCGAAGAGATGCCTGGAAGAAACTCTGAACGCTGATGCTCCTTAAGAATGCGATAATGAAATAATTGTTCCGAAGCCTACCCTATTAAAACTTTAACTCTATATCCTTTGTGAACATGGAGAAAAGGGGAAGGGGTCTAAGAATGTATTGTTGTCTTTATAATTGGATGACCCCTAACTTTAGCAACCCTGAAATTATAAAATGGATACAGTACTTCCATTCCTACCGTCAAGAGTGGATGGAACTGTCCCATATCTCTGTCAATCTTTTGTTTGCCCACTAAATATAATATGTACACGAACTTCTATTCATTTAACCAAAAAGCTAGAAGATGGGCTTGTTTAGGATTTGAACCCACGACCTCAACGAACAACGATCGCATGCACTACCCGTCCGCCCACCAAGTTACCCTGCACCCTAACATGAGAACCGGGGGCTAATATAACCTTCAGGTCACAGCGCTTCCTCCCCTGCTAGAAACATCTTTTGATTCCTTTCAACCCTTTTCGATGGTTGGGTTGACACAAGGCTCAATATGAGGCACGATTTGTTTGATGTGTCAACATAGGACATCTTTTCATCACTTCAACACACCTAGCTAACACTACTACGTTCGTTTCTTTGGAGATCCGACTTTTTAAGAAATCAGGATGCAGTTCTGAACACTCGAGGTTTGTACATAATTTTAGCCACAGCACATTGTAGGCGTGCACTAGTGTGTACCGCAGGAAGTACTAGTTAACCGAAGTCGCCGAGAAAACACGAGAAGTTATTGAGTGGTGTTTTTGGATTTGTTTCGTTTCATTACGGTATTTATGTTTTTTTTTTTTTAATTTAAGTAAATTAGATAACCTGAGTTGCTTATTATTGAAGAAATGTATTAATATTAAGCGATAGACCCACATCGTGTGTTATAATTTGTGTGAAGTAAATAATATATGTGTGTCTGTGTATTTGTAAATATATATATATATATATATATATATATATATATATATATATATATATATATATATATATATATATATATAACTCTGAGGTAATATCTATATCTACACCGTGGCGAAGCATGAGTGTGCAGCTAGTATATATATATATATATATATATATATATATATATATATATATATATATATATATATATATATATATATATATATATATATATATATATATATATCTAATATATAAAGCTCAGTTCTGTATGTAACGCATATGTTTGTCGTTGGTCTTGGATGGATTAAAGTGTTATAATATTATCGTGCGCATTTCTCTAAATTTATGAGTTAAAACATTACTATTGAAAGTGTTGGGAAATAATTTTCATTTTTCAAATTATAGTAATAATTGTCGGCATGTTCATCAAACACAATTTTTAAAAAAATATCATCTTTTACAAAAATTCTAATTATGTCTTTATTTAGTCCTATAGCACTTACTTCCCTTTGATAAATTAGGAAAACACAATTACTTCCCTTTATAAAACCATTGCATTCGTGGACAATAATTTACTTTTTAATTACTTTGTTTTGGTGTTGGGAAAAAAAATAATTACATAATTAGTGGGGATTGATCAAGTGCAAATGTTGTAGGTATTTTACGGATAAGCTTGGAGTATTAAAATTGTTCATTAAATTGAAACAGGCGCGTTCGTTTAAGTGAGTGCAAAAGACTATGAATAAGTTGGGGTACTATAGTCGTTTATTAAGCTAAAACAGGCGATTCCGTTGGGTTTGCGTTAGTGGTTGCGGTTTGATTTGGTTCGTTTTTGTTCTTTCTTTTTTCGTTTTTGTTTGTGTTTTTTTCTTTGGGTTTGTATTTATGTTTTTGGTTGGTTTTGCGTTTGGATTTGGTTTGTTTTCGTTTGCTTTTTCGTTTTTTTGTGTGTTGTTATTGGTTGGTATTGGTGTTTGTGGGTGTGGTTGGGTTTGTTGTTAGGTTTTTGTTTTCGTTTACTTTTTTGTTTGTTTTTTCTTTGTGTTTGCATTGGTGTTTGTGGTTGTGGTTGGGTTTGTTGTTAGGTTTTTGTTTTCGTTTGTATTTGTAATTGTGTTAGCGTTATGTTTGCGTTTTGTTGTTTTGGTTTTGGTTGGTTATGGTTTGGGTGGGCAATGCCGGGTTTATGATGATTACTAAACACACAGGTGATGGTCTTTAACAGAAAGGTTTTTCACAGAAGCCAGAGCAGGGCCTGGCCGGGACGGCTAGTATATATATATATATATATATATATATATATATATATATATATATATATATATATATATATATATATATATATATATATATATATATATATATATATATATATTAATATATATATAATACAAATATTTATTATATTATATATATATATATATATATATATATATATATATATATATATATATATATATATATATATATATATATATATATATATATATATATAGATAGATAGATAGATAGATAGATAGATAGATAGATAGATATAGATATATATATATATATAGATATAGATATATTATATAGGACTATGTATATAATGTTTATTTATTAATATTTCAATATATGTATGTGATATAATATATATTTGAATTAAAACATTATAAGTATCAACATGTGTATTTATATGTGAATTCTAGAATAGTGTGCGTGAGTTGTTGATTTTTTAGGCCAATATAAACAACCGAAATAGGTCTATGTTTTTGTGTTTTTGTCCAGTTTAGTTAGAGCTATTTCGTGAAACCTTTTCTAAAGGTCAAGGTACGATGACGCAATCACCTCGCTCCACCTTTACTATGCACACCACGTTCATTGTAGTCCAGGATGTTCCCCTCAAGGCTTTGTCAACCTTTAGAGGGAAAACCCATCGTTTGTCGTGTTCGTTTTTTTTTTAATCGCTCTCGTTATAAACCCGTCGTAGCCCGTAACCTAGAGGAGAAAAAGTTGATTTTAAAGCTCGTAATTTGATTTGATTGTAATTTTTCGTATTTGAATTGCTTTCTTAGTATTTTTAGTTGATTTAAAGGTTCATATTTAGAGTTGGTTTAAATTTTCCTATTATGAATTTATGTAAACGTAATATTTTAAATAGGAAATACGTAATTCAACAATCGCCCGTCCACGCCCACCCCAGGTGTTTCGAATACCACCCCCCCCCCCCAATCTCCTGTCCTGCCATACAGGAGCAAAAGTTATTATAGAAACCCTGCATGTAAACAATAAGGTGAAACAATACATGTTTCACGTTTTCAACCCCCCACAACCTCTACCCCCACCCCCATCAACATCCATCCATCCAGTGTTTCTTCCAGACTTTTTACTCCTGGGGGGGGGGGGGGCGTGATATATTCGGGGGGGGGGGGCGGACACTGGTAAAAGTATATGTTTTCTATATAAAGTCGGTAGACTTTCTTCGAAGAGATGCATGGAAGAAACTCTGCATCCATCCGCCTATCACCCAATACAAAATTGATCTTTTAAAATGACTAACATCTTGCTTCTTCTCTCGGTATGTTCATTTATTTGAACACAGATGCCAACAAGTTCACTTTCAAAATGAACTATGCAAAAAATAAATAAACAACCTTTCACAGCCCCCACAGCCCCTTCACCGTGTCGACATTTTTTACATCGAACGAAACAGTGGGTACAGAACATCCTGCACCCCCCCCCCTCCCTTTTCCACACAACCCCCCCCCCCCCTCATCCCTAACGCCATTCATGTCTAAAAAAACGCTGTCTTTGTGTGATTATTCTTATAATTTTACAAAATTCTTTCTAGAACAATCCGTCGAAGGATCTTATTGACGTTTTAAACAGATCCAAGATGGCTCTGTGGTTGTTGACAGTGGTTCTTGTAGCATCGTCAGCATCCTTAATATTATGCGCGCAGCCGCACTGTAAGTATTTGGTTTAGTAAGTTTAGTAACCAGTGTTTCTTCCTTCCAGGCTTTTTTCTCAGGGGGGAGGGGGGGGCGGCACTTGATATTTTCGGGGGGGGGGGACCACTACGTTTTCCTGGAGGGTGCGGACACTGGTAAAAGTAAATGTTTTCTATATAAATTCTATTTTGTTCGGGGGGGGGGGGGGGGGACGGTAGACTTTATTTTGGGGATGGGCGGGGGGGGGGGGGGGGGGGCTCCACCCCACGAAGCGAAGAGATGCCTGGAAGTAACTCTATTAGTGAGGTTGGGCCTTGGGCTCGTATCTTTGAATCATGGTTGAGTTGAAAATGCATTTTGTAACGCGGATTGGTATCAATCTACTTTTCAATATGGGTTCTTTTTCATTGACAGGCCTTCTAAGTTAATAGTTATTTTATTTTAAAAATCTAAATTTGTCTTCGTAAAGGGATTGTGATGTCTATTAATGTTCATTTTAATTAAAATATATTTCAAAAGAAATCTGTGTTAAGCGCTGATATTTAAAGAAACTTATCGTTACGACCAAAGAAATAATAATTTAGTAGCATTGAAAGTAACTTTAATTAATTTTTGATGAAAGTACACGATTTTAGATTAACTTGGCGTTTAAAATCTATGGAAAGATTTAATTAAGTTCTCCTTATATACGAGACTAAAAAAAAAGTTGTGTGTTTGGGAGGATTCAACGAGCATTATTCGCTTGACTTCAAATTACTCTGTGATACTGATTGCATGTACATTGAAAAACTATGAAGTAAATTTAAAGAAAATACCACATTAAAATGAAACATGCGTTTAAATATAAATTTAAAAACGTCTTAATTTTTCATTTAGCCAGATTGTAACATTACTTGTGGGACATCTATGATACATCCAGTGGCGTAGCGAGGTCGGGTGTCACCCGGTGCGGCACCTTATGGTGTCAGACCCCCCCCCCCCCCAGAGGCGTAGAGACCCATCCGGGGGGCACAAATTTTCGATTCGCACCCTCCCTCAAACTTTTGATTTGCACCCCCCCCCCCCTCAAACTTTCGATTTTCACCCCCTCCCTCAAATATTTCTCTATATATTTTGCTATTTTTTGCCTCGGTGTCACCCCCCCCCCCTAAATGGTGTCACCCGGTGCGGTCCGCACTCCCCGCCCCCACCCCTTCGCTACGCCTCTGGATACATCTATTAAATATTTAAAAATAAATGCTTATATTCCATTATAGACTGCTCACTCCCCTCTGAGACTGGGCCATGCCGGGCAGCCATCTCACGCTATTTCTTCGACACCACCTCCCAGAGCTGCAAAGAGTTCACCTACGGCGGTTGCCAAGGCAACGCCAACAACTTCCGGTCCATATCCCAGTGCAAAGCGGCCTGCGTGTGCACTCTGGACCCGGTCGAAGGCGGCAACTGCACCAAACCGGTTCAACGGTTTTACTACAACGTGGGCGAAGACGTCTGTTCTCCTATCACCGGATGCGGAAATGGCGGGAACCTGTTCCCTGACCAAATTGCCTGTTTGGATTCTTGCATCGTGACCAAGTGCTTCCTGCCGCAGGAAGTCGGTCGCTGTAAGGCCAATATCCCGCGGTACTTCTACAACAAGACGAGCAGCGAATGCGAGCTCTTCAGCTACGGAGGATGCGACGGCAACAAGAACTTATTCACCGTGAAAGAAGAGTGTAACAAGTTCTGCACAGTCCCCATTTCAGGGGAGGAAATCGTCATCAACAGGATCAAGCCGACGGGAGTTACCCCGACGGTAACTTCGGATAAAAAATGGATCTGCATGCTGCCGCAAACTGCTGGAATGTGCAAGGCGTCGTTCCCGCGTTTTTCATTCAACGCCACGACGAAATCGTGCGATTTTTTCATCTACAGCGGATGCATGGGGAACGAGAACAACTTCGCCACGGAGGACGACTGCAAGATGGCGTGTGACCCAGATATCCCGACCAATCAGAAGACGGCTCCTCCCAACGCGAACATCACCGCTGAAGACTGTCGTCTCCCCCCAGATTCAGGAGTGTGCAACGCTTATCTCCCTTCTTTTTACTACAGCGCTTCAACCCGGAAATGCGAGCCTTTTATTTACAGCGGTTGCCTGGGCAACAGAAACCGATTCAGCACGGAGAAAGAATGCATGGACGCGTGTCAGATTTACTACCCCATTAACTCCAGCCCGAAATCCAACAACTACGAAGAAGTTGTAAGTAACGTAAACAACATACTCACAGATTTACAGAAGAAGGAGAAAGAGCACAGGCAAATGATCTGCAGACTTCCACCGGAAGCAGGGTTTTGCCGAGGGTTCTTTATAAGCTTTTTCCACAACGTCACTTCCGGAGCGTGCGAAGAATTTATCTACGGAGGTTGCGATGGGAACGAAAACAACTTTCCTAAAAAAGAAGAGTGCGTCAAAACATGCTTATCTAACTAGTTCTGGAACCCGAAGTTCTTGTTAGAATACGACACAAATGTTTGTTTTATTCTACTTGATAAAGTTTCGTTGTTTCGCATTTTTAACACGGTTTTAGTTTTTACTGGCATCGCCGATGTCTGATGAGAGAATTGATCATTAATTTTGACATGAACTAAAAATGTGTTTTTGTTTATTTCGTCTTCCGAGTAGCCCTAAAAATGTAAAAAATAAAATAAAAAATAAAACTGAATTATTATTTTTTTTTTAGAAATTTGGTATTTTAAGAATCTATGTTGTAAATTTTGCAAATTCCGAGAATTTAAAAGTTGTTTTTATGTGTCTTTTAAGGCTGTATTTCTATTAACTTAGTTAAGCGCCAGTTTTGTGTGCATTTACCATATTATTGCAACGACAAAAGGGTAAATTGTTTTGGCTTTTTCTTTTTCAGTTTTGTTTACTTACCGAAAATAATAAAAACAACAAATACGGTTAATTTAGGAAGTCCATTTATAAAACCATTCAAGGTAGTTCTTATAATTACTTATTGTAGTGACGTCGCACGCGATTTTTAAAACATTTAATAGACCCTTCAAAAGTCCAACCAATTCGATGCCATTAGGACTTTGGGCAGTGGCGTGGCCAGTGGGGGTGCAAGGGCAGTATTGAATTATACACATTTAAAGTTAATAAAATAAGTGGCTAACGGCTTTACATAAATATTTAACTTTTTTTACCTCAATGTGTAACAGTAAAATAAATACCATTTAGAAAACTGTGGCCGGTTAAAACCTCTCACCCGCTATTTCCTATGATTGAGGGGGAGTGCTCTTTTTTGCCAACATAAATAGGAAAGATTTATATTGGAATGCTTAGTAGAAAAGAACCTAATTAACTAATTGTATTGACGCGTATAGGGTTGGTAATTAGGTCACCAACAAGTTCTATGGCTCATTAAGTTTTTATTTAGCCATAGAACTGGTTGGTGACCTACTTACCAGCCCTATCGAACGATTATGTAACATTTATAAAAACACCCTTAAGAATTAGTGACGGGGGAAGGGGGTGCTTTTTCGCCAACTAAAATCCGAAGGATATCACATCGGAGTGCTAATTATATAAATCGTTTAACAACTAGAAAAAAAATGCCAATTGTATTAAACGATTTCCCCCTCTTGAGTTGTTAAGAAATAGAAATGACGCAACTAGTTCTATGTAGTTAAAAAGTTACGTTTCTCCCAAATTTAACGGAAGAGATCGGAGTGTTACTGGATTGCATAGTATCCATTGCATTAAAGAGAAATAAATATCATGGATTTTTTTTATCTGATCAGTTAAGATCAGTTAAGAGGCGAAACTGTTTGGCCGAAATTCTAAGGGTTATGAAAAATATAACCAGGCTTTCTATAATTAAAATCACACAATAAACATTTTTACTATACAATTAGTGACGTGTATCGATGAGATGGGCACTTGTTTATTTGTTTCATAACAATCGCCTAATAGTTCAATGTTACTGTAGTTAAGGCCACTAGGTCTACTAAACGAGGTACAACTTCTGACCACGATACAACACGACGGCTGCTGTTGCTTTGCAGCTTAGATCGACCTAGCTAAAAATTCAAAACTGTTTTATACCAGTTTCAAGATTATTCTAAAAACAAAACCAAAACAGATTTAAAAAACCACATTTTATAAAATCTTGTTATTAAAATTAAAATGGTTTTTTTGTATGTTTTTAAATATAGCACACTCTCCCCTTTCCCCCCCCCCCCCCCCCCTCACAATTTAACCACTAATGAATGGCTCCCTTCTGTTCTTTTTTTTTTGCTCAAGGGAAACAACTAAAAGAAAAATATATTAAATATACAATTTGAACTAATTCGGTTTATTACGTGTAATTCATATCATAATGATAACTTTTATCATAATATTAAACATAATATATTCACGTCGCTTTCAGTTTGAATGTTATTACCTGATTTTATGAAGCGTTCATTTAAAACTTAATAACAACTAGAAAAAAAAACACATTAAACTTATTTTAAGATTGTTTTATTTACAAGTGGATTTTCGATTAAATATTTAGTGTAGGTCTTCTGATCAGTAATCTAGATTTTTGACTCCCTATAGGGACGCCAATGGAAATTGAAACAGTAAGACAGTACTATGACACAGGGGTCGGCAACCTTTTCAAGCGGAAGAGCCAATAGTTACAATTTTCAAAATTACTCTGGTTTTAAAGAGCCACTAACAATTTTTTATTTCAAATATTTTATTTTTTTTATTAAGATTATAAGTATTTGTGCAAGGAGCTGGAGAGCCGCATCTTGATATCAAAAGAGCCGCAGGTTGCCGACCCCTGCTATGACAATAACCCACAGTGACCTCAAATTAAGTCCTCAGGTTTAACATGAATCCCCTTGGCCTAACCTAAATACATATCTGTATTACCTTAATCTAATATTATGAGTTTGGTGTTTCAAAATTATAACAGCAGACATAATTAAGGCCAATTTGTCTTTGGGTGTCTTTGAATATATATATATATATATATATATATATATATTTATATATTATATATATAGAGCCTACACACAAATATTTTAAGAACTAGTTTCATTGTTTGTTATGTTAGGTTTTTAGGCTTTTTTTAAATTCTAAAATACATGCCTTAGTATCATTTTTTAATTTCGGCTTTTTACCTATTATCAGCATTTTGGAAAGCTATCCACATAAAATTGATATGTTAAGAGTCAAATTATATTTTTTGCAAGATTGATAGATTTTTTATTCATAAACTATTGCATTGAGGTGTGCTTATATTACTATGGTCAAAAAATTGTATGTATGTAGGGCCTACCTGTGTATTGTTTTTTTTTCTCTACATTTTTGTCAGGGATTATATTGCAAAATGGTTTAAAAAATGGTGTCAGAATTAGGAAGAAAGAAGCACCAGTATTGGTATTAAGAATCTATATTCCTATCTGCAATGACACAAGCTGCCCACAATAAAGTTTTCCCATTGTGTGATAGTTGACGACCGACCTTTAACGGTTAAAATATTTTGGTTATAAAAATTGATATTGAGAAAAAAAATTTCAAAAAAAAAAAAAAAAACCTCAAGGGAAGTAATAGTTGATTTATTCTGAATCGTTACAAGCTGTTATTTGTTAAAATATACAACAATTAACTCTTAAACCAACACAACTAGTTGTATACCTCACTCTCTTCATATACAACACAATGAAAGTTATTGAACCATTCTCAATGATTATAACACTACCTTGCCTTAAATCCACTAAAACAAATACCATTATATTCCTTTCTACAAAACTTGTGTATTATTAGCAGCTTCAGACATCACCAGTATCCTGTCAAAAAATTCACCAGACCACCAAAGTCAAAGAATACATAAAGGTTTATTCTAACTTAAACACTAGGAAATTTTCTGTATCAATTGCGAACTTGAGCGGCCTTCTGTCTTGCATGCTCCTCCATTCTCCTTTCTAACTCTGGTCTGAAGTGGCGAATCAAGCCCTAGAAACAAAAAAAATTAAATATTATTCTAACACTTTTAATAACTTCATGGTAGTGTTTCAGTCACTCATCAGTTTAGACATCCAGTCTTCATTAGCATTATTTATTAGTTAATAATCTGTATTTAAAATGCACTGTTTTTCAGGAGAATATCTACAAAGTCCATGGAAAAAAACAGAAATTGTGTAGGCTTATACTTTAAACATAGAGGCTACAAGTAGCACTACCCAATAGCAGCTCCTTTCAAATTTATATATTTTCATATTTTAGTTTTTAATGACACTGGAACTAAAGCAAACATAGATGAGGTATTGACAGATAAAGCAACTCTTTTAAAATAACATAGCGCTAATTTATGTGCAAATTTCCTCTCCTTAATTGCCATTGCTTATGGTTCTAAAATTTATTTTCATTATAAATTAAGTTTTTTAATATTATACATAAAAAAGGCTGCCAATGTTTACTACAGTAATGAACAAATAGTGAAAACATACAATGAATCTGTGTAGATGAAGTCTAAGATAAAAGGTAGAAACAGAAATACCTGAACAGGCCATGCAGCACCATCTCCGAGAGCACAAATTGTGTGGCCTTCAATCTGCTTGCTTATCTCATACAACATGTCAATCTCATCTTTCTGTGCATTGCCAGTTTCTGAAATTTTTTAGTCATTAATTCATTATTCATAAAATAATATAATGGATCCATATAATTCACAAAAAATTTCAAAAACCTACAAAAAGATAAATAAAAGAGATGAAAATAATTTTTTAAAGGGTATATTAATTATTTATAAAATAATGTAAAATAGTAATTGATCAATAATTAACAAAAAAAATTCAGAAACCTACAAAAAGATAAAACAGATGAAGATCATTTTTTAAAAGCGTATATCAATTATTATTAAAAGACTAAATATATAAATTTATACAAAGAACTTGGTAAATTATTGTAACAAGATTCCATAAAGACTGACTTGAAACTGAAATGTGAAAGGTAGGACTTACGGAATCTGTGCATGACCTTCATCATCCAGCTGACACCTTCACGGCAGGGTGTGCACTGAAATACATTTTCAAAATTTAGTAAACTCAAAATATACTTGGTCATTTTGTGGTCATTTTAAACTTAATCAACTGAATTTTAAAATATTTCTTTTTACTAAACTTTCCATAAAAGTTTATTATGTTTATTCCATATTTCAATTGGAAAGATAAAACTATTTTACGGTGTTCAATATATAAAATTGCATGATTGTGATAAAAATAATATTTTACTAAAAAATTTGAGCAGGTCTTTATTTTAGAATTACTAATTTTAGTTCAGTGTGTGTGTAATATAGTGTGCCTTGCACGATCAAAATGTTATATTAAAGTGAATTTTAAATAACAGAACAGAAGCAACAGGTTTAGAGAAACAAAATATAGCTAATCAGCAAGCACAACAGAATACAGGGTAAAACTACATACATTTTTAAAAACAGAGTACAGGTAAATGTGGGGCAAAGTCTCACCTGTCCACAGCTCTCGTGCTTATAGAAGTCAATCAAGCGAGCAATACACCTGACAACGTCAGCTTGTTTATTCATGACAATGACTGCAGCAGTGCCAAGTCCAGTCTGTGTCCTGATCAAGTCGTCAAAGTCCATCAGAACATCCTCACACACCCTGGCAAGAGATGAACACAAAATCACATAAGCTAGACTATTTCAGGTGTAAGCCATAATTTGTTTATTTTATTTTGAGGCATGTTAAAAAAAAATTTGCAGAAGAGCACAGTAATTTAACATGGTTTTCATGTTCTCTGTATTTGCAACTTTTATATAATTGATTCTTAAAATATAACTTTCCAAAAATTGTTCAGGCTGAATTTTTTATGTTTTCACAGTCCTTATGTAGGCAAAATTGACAAAACGCAATTTTTACCAATGTTAACAATATTGATAAAAGACATTCGTCAAAGTTGTCCATTTATATAACATAAAATGATTACAAAAAAGCTTAAAGTGTTTGGATTTTAAATTTAATACATTTATTCAGATAAAATAAATGGCACAATTTAACAGCAAGTCCTCAACTCTGTCTACTCATGCATTTATATAGAAAAAGTTGTCCCCCTTTCCCAACCCTGATATGATATGGGATGTAACTCACGATTTAGGTATGAGTGGTGTTGATGAACCTCCTGGGATAACAGCCAGCAGGTTATCCCAGCCTCCAATAACACCTCCAGCATGTCGTTCGATTAAATCCTTCAAGGGGATGGACATTTCCTCCTCCACTGTTGTTGGGTTGTTGACGTGTCCAGAAATGTTAAACAGCTGGGGAGAGGGGAAAACAACTAATAGTTAGCTTGCCTCTAGGATAATGAGGATGAGTGATAGAGAACATGATTGTTACAGTTAAAATAAAAGATGAGAATGGTTGCAAATAGATTCTGTAGGATGTCCATTAGTCCATATTATGTAAAAATGAAATTGACACCTGAGAGTGGCACAGTATGACCATACTATACAAAGTAATAGAAATAGTGCACAGTAGTTCATTTCACATCACAAATAAACCAATATTATAAAAGAGATATCAAAACATAGCTTAGCATCACATTAAACAAAGAAACAAAAAACAATTACTAAGCACTAGCACATCATCAATAACACCTACTTAGCCAGTATGAGTAAAACCAGTATTTTTAGTATAACACTTGTTAACAATGAGTTATCAGAACACACCTTGGTACCACGATTGCGCTCCCTGCCAAAGCCAGCGAACCACGTCCCGCCACGCCTACAAATATCTGGAGCCACTGCAACAGTCTCCACATTGGACACAGTTGTTGGACAACCAAACACCCCCACATCTGCAGGGAAGGGTGGCTTGAGACGAGGCTTGCCTTGCTTACCTTCAATGGACTCGATCAGTGCCTGTAAACAAGGAAACAAAAAATTAGACTATGTTATAATCATGCATCAAGTTATTAAAAAATATAACAAGAAAGCCTTAATTTATAAACAGATATATGGCCACAGGGCTTCATCAGAATAAATAACTATAAAATGCATTTTATTATACTAAATATATATATATATATATATATATATATATATATATATATATATATATATATATATATATAATGTAAAATATTTATAAATAACTAATTAAAACTGAAGTCATTAAAGAAAGAATGAAAACAAAATCTAATTAAGTTGTAACTTACCGTTTCTTCCCCACAGATGTAGGCTCCAGCACCTCTATGCACAAAAACATCAAAGTCATATCCACTTCCACAAGCATTTTTGCCAATAAGTCCTGCATGGTAGGCCTATATAGAACAGTTAACTGATTTTTAACAGTGTATTAGTTATCTGATTACTTTCACAAAATAAAACTTAATTTTTTTTTCTCTCTTTTATAAGAAACTATTATTAGACTTGGAAAAAAAAAAGCTATTTCTGTAACATCACTTGTTAAAAAAAATTAAAAAAAAAAAAACAACAATATTTCCCCAATTCTTTTCTAATTAAGGTAATATTCCAAATTAAAGAAGAAGGTAAGGTATACATTTTCATGGCTATCATGGATAGAAAGCAATGTAATCTAATTATTTTCTAATTAAGGCCAATATCCTAACACACAAGAAGATAAGGTATACATTTTCACCGCTAACCCAACCCCTCTGAAAAAGTCTAACTAAACTCATTTTGAAAAAGTGAATAGAATAGAAACCAGTAGGTCTAACCTCATTGATGGCCACTTGGAGATTAGAAGCCTCATTATAGAACTCCCCTCTAATGTAGATATAAGCTGAAAGAAAATACAATCTCTGTTAATTCTTTAATACATTATTTTAGAACAATAAAGTTTCTTGCTTGGCTACTGTATCTTATGATATACTTTAATTAAAAAGTTGATAAACAGTACTGGTTAAGCAAGATGGACCTACCTGCTCTAGCATGCATAGCAACACCTGCAATCAGACACCCTTCAATCAGCTTATGGGGGTCATGCCTCATGATTTCTCGATCTTTACATGTGCCTGGTTCCCCTTCATCTGCATTCACAACAAGGTACTTGGGCCTGAGAAAAGAGCGCTTTCATATTAAATTTACATTATATAAGGCACTAGCTAATTTTGTTGTGGCATCTTTAAAATGTTTCTTTCATCACTCAGTCTACATAAAATAACAAACAAATAATGTCTAGGAAAAACCATTAGAAAAATATTTTTTAATATTCATTATAAAACAATCCTCATTATAATGCAATTGTGTGCTATACATATCAAACACCATTACAAAATTATTTTACATTTATTATAGATACAAGTAAGGGATACCATTGTTAAATGGTAGAGCGTATGACTGCTAAATACGTCTTGGGTTCAAGCAAGTACAGTGTCTACCCAGGTCTGATGGGTACCTGACTCACATTAGGGAAAATAAAACAGACTCGGCACACTATCACTTCACATGCCGAGGTCACAGAAGCAAACTCTAATTCACTTGCGCAATTTAACTATCAGGTTCAAAAGGTAACTTTACCATAGGTAAAAGTTATAAATCATCAAATAGCCTTTAGAAAAACCAACCTGCCATCTGATGGTTTATTCATAAATCCCCATTTCATTCCTGTAGGAAAGCCAGCTCCACCTCTGCCTCTCAAGCCAGATGTTGTTATCTCTTTTAATATCCATTCATGGCCTTTAAGTATTATCTCTTTAGTTTTGTACCAAGCACCCTTTAAATAATGAAAATATAGATAATATTAATACATTGGCTTACATGTTTGACTTCTAAATCTATCAAGTTGATCATCTTAGATACTTAGCATAGTAACCTACTTAAGGGTTGAACAATCTGAATTATTAAAAATTATCACTTACCCTTGATTTAGCTCCTTTTAGTTTGAAGTCATAACGACCATACAAATTTGTGAAAATTCTGTCTGAGTCTTTTAGAGGGCCATAGGTTTTCTGTGTTGGGAAAAATATTAAAGTAACAACATTATCAAGTACACTTCATACTAATTAGACAGAATAAACTTAAGTGGTTTGAATTTTAAAATGAAACAAATACCTTTTCTGTTTTAGTAGCTTCTGTAGCATTCGTTCTGACGAAAGCTGAGAGAAATGGCAGGCTCTGTCCTCTGGCTAGAAAATAGATGCATAAAGAGAGATAATAATTAGGATGATGCACACAATGCAAGCATTAGCTGTTCCAATAGATGTGGTAAAATACTTATTAGGAGAAAGCAGGAGAGGGGTCAGTCATGTGGTCAGAAATCATATGACCATGCTAAGGAAATCTTGAGGTCTCTGTAAATGATAGGCACATCTTAGGCCTATGCCTTGTGTGACCCAACAAAGTGGGTGACAGGTATTTTAAACTTTGATAAAGATGCATGTAGCAAATGTGTCTGCTTAGTTTAGTAAAAATATATTGAGAGCTGAGCATCAAGCTTGTCTCTGCTAATTTCTGTTTCAGAAATATAATATATATAGGCCTAATACTAAATATTATTAGTAGTTAGTAGGCCTATTACTTTTACTATTAGTTAGTTTACTAAAAAGTCTAATTAGGCCTAGTAATTAGTATTATGATTGAAATATAAAGTATTATCTCATCATACTGGCCTTAAATTCAGAAAATAATTAATTAAATTTAATTAGGCCCTAGGCCTATTACTTTACAAAACATTGCTTTTTTAACCCCCCCCCCCCAATACTTTATAATTTAGGGCCTATAGGCCCTAGTATTTCTTATTATAGGCCTCATATAAATTATATTATTGTTAGCCCTATAGCCATGAAAAGTATTATAGTTTAGCAATGGTAATAGTGGTCTATCATTAGTATTTTTGTGGCAGAAGAAAGTACGTTGTTTGTTGTGTAGGCCAGAATGTAATCTGCATGAGCTATGATCAGCTTTTTGTTTTTCCATTGAAATTTGATTCTTGGGGGAAATTTTCTGGCAAAAATTTTTACAAATTTGTTCTGCAATCATTTCAATCTGTTTCCATTCTTTTTTTTTTGTGCAAATAACTTTAAAATTTAAAAGGAAATGGCTAAATAAGTTTAAGGACTATTAATAATAATAGGGCCTAATTAGTAATTTACTAATTAGTATCACTCTCTATAGTCTATAGGCCTATTAATAAAATTTAATAATTGGCCTTCACATTCAGTAAGTAATAACTTAGTAAACTTAGTAGGCTATAGGCCTAATTATTAATATAAGTCTTATAAGATAAAGATAAGATAGGCTAGGGTAAATTAATAACCTAGGCAATAAAATATAATTAGACTAGACTATTAATAGGCTAATTACTTAGGCCTAACTAATTAGGATAAAAAGTAGATCTTGATCTATAGAATTACATTAATGTGTTTTAGTGTATGACATCGCGAACAAATGAAGATTTTTCCACAGCCAGTCATCATTGAGTTCATTTTTGTGAGTCAAGCTGCAAGACTTTTATCTTTTATTTATTTAAGTTTTTGCAAGTTACACGAGTAAACATACTAATCATGCGAATTATTTCAAATAAATACTTACAAACAGAAGCTGCAAAAGATGGAGAAATGCGTGCAAGACCAGCCATTATTTAAGTAATGGCTTTCTTGATTGAAATCTCTAATTAAGGCTTAATGTTATTATTTCCAAATATTAGCTTCGACCTTTACTTATTACATAAACAGAACCCATTGCCAAGGTAGGTCTGCAGAAAATAGAATTATTCTTTTTCCGGTAGGTGTGTTGTACAAATTGGCATTTTCTTATTTAAAAAATAGTATATAAATCTAATCCATAAAGGCATCGTTTTAGGGTAATTCATATTGCTATACCACATTTTTAAAATTAAAAATTGAATTACCATATGTATTATTTTCAAATATATTTTATAGGAGCTGTTTAAGGAATTAGTAAAAGTAATTTTTAAAATTTGGCCATAAAAGCTAAAATTTAGCTTGCCACAAATTCAGCCAAAAAAAAAATAGATCTAGATCTAGAGTAAAGTTCCACGCGCGGTCACACATAGCGGAAAATTCCAAATTCCCGATTTTCATCGGGCGCTATTTTATAACCGTTTCACACAGAAACAAACCGAAAGCACTGTATTACTCCGCTGCCATTCTACTGTAATATGTATGAGTCATTTTGTATTCCTACGCATAGTATTTAAGATATTCATGTTTTAGTGACGTCCCTCCTTGCGATATTTTTTTTCCCTTTTTTTTTTGCCTGCGTACGCAAGAACCTGCTTGCCAACGAGCGTATTGTATACGTTTTGATCCAATTTTAATAATTGAAATAAATATTTTACACACTTAAACGTGTTGTTGATTGTATTATTAATTAATAGATTGCAAAAATAATAATTAAAAACATGTTAATTAAATTAATTAAAGACATTAAAAGTTGACCCAGTGATGACTCAAGGGACGCAACTATAATAATCATAACAAAGGGACGTAACAACCACTAAAAGACATAACGTAACATTTGCTTAGATATGCTTGTATGTAGAGACACAAACTAGATTTAGAAGAAGTAGATGATCGAAATAATTTAAAACAGCAGAAAAAAATAGAAAGTATACAGATTCTAGGCTTAGTTTGAAATATAGAGCATCTAGAACTAGGCTAGTCTAGCTCAAGTCGTTGGTTACGCAGCGATGTGAAACCACCGTAATCGACACCCAAGCTGCGGCCACCCCTATTTACCTATCAGGTTGCTTTATTAGCCTTATCTATCGTATGTACAGTGTCCCGCATATATTGTAGAAGCTATTTATAGTTAACCTAGTTATAAAAAGCTTTGATTGGTTGGTTTTATTCATCTCATCCGGGACCTAGTGTTTTTCATAGGGGGAACTAGAACCGCCTACGACGTCATACCTCGAAACTTTAAAATTAAAAAACTCGACTTCCAGAAGGAGAAAAACAAAAGAATTTGACCTGGATATATTTAGAAATGGACAGGTTTACAGCAGATATCGGTAGTTTCGTATAAAACATCAAAACAAATATTGTACGAAGCGATAAACAGGCGATGATCGCACCGGTGTTTTAACCGCGCGTGGAACTTTAGATCTAGAACTAGAAGTTGAAAATAATTTAGGCCTATCTAACTATCTAGATTTAGATCTAGATCTAGATTTCTAGATCGTATTTTAGCAGGATTATAAACTCCATATCAGATATCATATCGCATAAAATGGGACTTTTTGACAAGTGCTCACAGGCTGACCCTTTACTTTACACTTTACACCGTCATTTATTATAACATCACGTAGAAATTATTTTAACATCACCTTCGAAAACTACAACTAAAAATTAAAAATTCCTTTATCAAACACAAACGCAGCGATTATTGGTTGGGGATGTGAGATAAGATATAACGCCCAAAAAGATTAACTAGATTTGTTGACATGAAAGTGACCTTGTCAACGTTAGAAGCCAAGATTCGGCATGATGGATCTCTGTGGCACACTGCAAAAATGGTTACGTTTCGACATCTGTCTCATAAACAGTGTTTCTTCCAGAGTTTCTTCCAGGCATCTCTTCGGGGAGGGGGGGGTTACCGCCCCCCCCCCCCCCGAACGAAATGAAATTTATATAATTTATATAGAAAATATATACTTTTAACAGTGTCCGCCGCCCCCCACCCCCCGAAAATTTCAAGTGCCCCCACGGAGAAAAAAGTCTGGAAGAAACACTGGTTTCTTCCAGACTTTTTTCTCCGGGTGGGGGGGGGGGGGGCACTTGATATTTTCGCGTTTGGGGGGGGGGGGGGGGCGGACACTGGTAAAAGTATATGTTTTCTATATAAATTCCATTTCGAAGAGATGCCTGGAAGAAACTCTGCTCATAAACGCGGACTCATTAGACCCATTTTCAAAGACTCAAATGACATTAGAAAATACAACAGTGATCAGAATAAGATAAAACCCAACTAAAAAATTCGCGAAAAATAATACAAATGATAATTTATAGACGTTAGAAAGAATTACCATAATATGTAAGCTACATTGTTGTATATTAAAACATTTTTACGTGAACTATGGCAAAATCTATGTACCGTTTCCATTGCGCATTTTCCGTGTGCGCAGTTTTCGGTTGCACATTTTTCCGTAATTACACATTGCAACACAAAAACGCTCAATAGAATGGCTCAGAGATGTATAATAGTTACAACCCCGAATTCCCCCACTCCCCTCCCTAAAAATGTATGTAGGCCTACCTACGCAGTATAGTAGGTTAAGTGGTGTAAAAAAAAAATTAACTGAAATACAGAAAGAAACAACAAGAGTCAGAAGTTAAACAGGATGAATACGATTAATAGGTCGTCTTGAGATAAGGTCTAAATCATAAACTTGTGTATGACCAAAGCCGGGAAACGAACAAAAAGCACACCTTGGTTCAGATTGAAGGCTGACGTTTAGATAGAACTACAACAGCTGGGGCGCCTCTGACTCTGAATAGAGGAAGGTGGTGAAGCAGACTAAAGCCCCCCTTCCCCCCCCCCCCCCCCCCACACACACACATAGGCCGTTGAGCCACGCGGAATGATGATGGATGGATGATATGAGAAGTGAGAAAAGCCGACAGAGAAATGGTAAAGAAGTGACAACTCGTTGTGAAGAATAAGCGCCTCGTTCTTGCCTTACGCTAAATTCAACATTGAGAAGTCGAAAAAAAATATGCTTGTGACTTGTGGTCAGTCTTAAAAATTAGCTACTAACAAAACACAAAATTTGTAATGACAAAGGATTGTAGTTTCTGAAAAAGTTTTTTTTTTTTTTTATCTTTACTGCAACTAGATCTAAAACGGGTTTTTAAGTTTTGCACAAATGCGACACACAATCTTTTACTTTTAGTCTATTTGCAGGCACATGACCCAAACATTATTAAAATGTAGAGATATCTAGATCTAGATCTATTCTAGAGCATCGTAGGCTGAAGGCTACACTGTGCAACATTGTGTTAGGCCTAATGGGTTAAAATTGGGTAGGTACTATTTTTGTGATGCGCAAGCGGAAGTTGACAATGTAATCATTAGTACGAGGACCCGCCATTCATTTTAAAATAGAATAATAAACCTGTGCTTGAACTTAAACAAAAAGGTAGATTCTAGTCTTTTCATAGATTCTTCATTGACTACAAAGTATGCACATAACATCTTCGAAAACAATATGTTAGTAATTCATCTCCTTAATCCTAGACCTCGATCGAATTTGAATTTGTGTAATGTATCGATGGTGGTATTCCACTCTCTATTTTTTATTATTTTTGTTCAGTGACTCGGTGGTATCGATATGCCATGGTTACAGTAAATAATTGTAGGACTAGATCTAGAAGCTAGATGTAGATTTAGATCTAAATTCTAGAAGGCAGAATGTATGTAGTCAATTCTTAATCTAGATCTCAATAAAATCTAATCAATTCTAATCTAATTTAGAATCTAGTAATTTAGCAGCCCAATAGATCTAGAATCAGTAGATCTAGAATCTAGATCTAGAGATCTAGAATAGATCTAGAATCTAGATCTAAAAGTCATTTTAAGTCCTAAGTATTAGGCCCTACATATTAACTAAGTTAACTAAGTACAAGTAGATATAGATCTAGATCTAGATTTCTAGAATCTAGAATAGATCTTGAAAATTTTTAATTTAGATGTGGATATTCTAGAATATTTATATTTAATATTTCAGAGCTGGGTGGACACAGGGACCAATGACTTGAACCCCGATTCAAACTCGAGACTTTTGGGTTAGCAACCATATAATAATATGTGCTACCATCCAACCACGCCACCCCAAAAATGGGCCTAATTTATATTATATAAAGGACTATTACAGTAGTAGGCCTTCTACTAGACTCAAGAGTCTAGATCTATATTTAGGCCTACTATTTTAATTATTGATGATAATCTATAATTATGATAATCTAAAAATGCCTGAATTGGTATTCAAAATGCATTGAAATCTAGATCTAGAATCCAAACTGTTATTAAAAAGTAAAGTAATGACCAAGGCATACAAGGGGATAGTATGTTAAGCTGTCTTTAGTTGCCCTAATATGAGTCAGGTACCCATTAGAGCTGGGTGGTCTTATGCAGATCCTATAGAATCAATCCTGGTATCCAAACTCAACAGTTTTGTAAGCTTTATCATCCACATTCTTAAAAGTAAATGTAAATTAATTTTCATTTCAGAAACATCAAGATTCCTGACAAAAAAAGCAAACACCCCCCTTTAGGTTTTCCCCTTATGATGCAGTATTAGCCCAAAGGTTTTCTCCTGATGATGCAGTATTAGCCCAAAACACGGCCAATAAAGACAAGAACAAATCTGAAACCCAACCAGCTTCTCAGTTCAATGATTCATCAAACTCTCCGTCCAGTTCAAGCCCTGGGCCTCAGTACAGCTCAACATCTTCCGTCTTCATTGCTGGTCCGTCTTCTGTTAAAGTGAGTTCCCAAAGTCCATCCCACTCTTGTTCTAAACTGCAAAGATCTGACAAAATTTCTTCTCAAAATGACTTAGCTTCCAAGTCACATGATGCTGTTCTGGTACAAGGTGTTGAAGATATTAATGATAGATTTGAAGATGATGTTTCTCAGCAGCCAGCACCTACTACCACTCATTTACCTAAACATAAGCTGAAAGTGAAAAATAAAGCTGATTCTGAAGCTACCAATAGCTTTCATGAAAAGCGTGCAAGTTCTAGTAAGTCTGTTGGCATTGCAAGGAAGTGGACTTTACAAAGGGTAGCACAAGAGATTATTAATCAGAAGAGAAGAGACAGTTACATCAAAACATGGGACCAAGCAGATTTACAGCAGGATAAAGATCTAGAGGATGAAAATCATATTTTAGAATTAAAGCACATCATTCTAAGCCTATTACAGGAACTAGCACCTAAATTGTCTATAAATGAAAATCTAGGGAGAAAACAAGTGACAAATTTTGAGCCAACAACATCTGCTAACTTTATCAGTTCATCAGCAACAACAGCGAACAGTGATATTTTTTCCATTGTTGATTATTTATTACAACATCCAGGGGAAATATTTCATTTGGACCTTGCACGCAAGGATTTAACTCTCATAGCTGAACAGCTGCAAATTCATGAGAGTGAGTACTTACGAGATCTTGCTGATGCTGTAAAAGAAACTGAATTGTCTAGGCAGACATCAGTAAATAACCAAACTGAATATCATTCCTTGACGTCTAGTATCCCCGTTTCTTTGAATACATCAAATGATCATGTTACATGTATTACAACCGTCACGTTGTCCTCGCTGTCAACTTCAGCCGCTGCGTATGAATCATCAGTTGATCCGCTTGTGATTGATGATTCAACCACTCAGCAAGCAACTGACTCACTTTCACCGGAAAATTCTTTGCCCGGAACGTCAGGCTCAACACGATCCCAGCCCATAACCCTAACCAGGCCCCTGACTGTTCAACAAACCCCACCAGGTTTAGGCGTGTTGGCTTCTGCCTTTATCTCCTCAAACGCTAGTGAATCGAGACCTGCTGTTGGTGCATTTCAATTTCGGAATATTTACTTAGGAGTTGCTAGCATTCTTAATCCAGGTGCAGCCTATAACCCAGTACCTGACCAGCCTCAAGGGTTGCCGAACAGGCGCCGGCGTCTAAGACCAACCAGTGTTCAACATTCCACTGGGGTTGTACACCAGCCGCTTCCCCAGCCTTTAGTACCAGCTACAGTACCAAACCCCCCTGAAAGAATACCAGGGGCACAACCACCGGATCATGATCTAAACAGACTACCCAACCAAATCCTTGCGCTGCCCGCGCCAATCCAAACCCAGATCAGAACCTTCGCGGGTGTTGACAGGCAGCAAGCTCCGGTCCAGGGACAAGAAGGTCGTGCGGTTGAGCCACCTCCACCACCACCTCCGCCGCCTCCACTGCCACCACAGCTCCTCCAGCCAGGTCATCACGTCCGCCCCCCACAGGCACACGAGGCGGCGCCACCCCGCATACAGCAGCAGCATTTGCATCACCCGCCCTTGTCTCCACCAGTACCACACCGACGCCTCTCTCATGTTTATAGAAGGCATTCGTCATTTACAAGATAAAACTGTAAGTTTCTCATTAACAAATTTATTAAAATCTATTTATTCATGAACAGCTTAGGGTTTTTTTTAAATAGTATGTTTAATAGTTTTTTCTTATACTTTATCAACAGACTAAATTTACATTTAACCATTAGTGCTATTGTCTTTAAATTTATTATTTTTTCTGTCTTAGTGATTGCATAACATTCTCTTTGTTGTAATTCATATCCTATATGTTGTTGGCTAAAGAAATTGCTGCATTGTTAACATATCACTGTAAAATAGTTTCATTCATATACAAACAAGATCAGTAAAACTTTATAAGAATATAGATATATATTCTAAGCTATGTCTATAGGCCTATGATAAAATTTCATAACAGAGATGTTATGTTTGTTCCTTAAAGTTGTCAACATTTCATCTGATTGACTTCAACTAGATCTCTGGAAGAATGTAAGCTAGTGCTGGTAAGTTTTGCATAATTATCATTTTGTTCCTTATTAAATAAATTTTTCTTCCATAACTACTTTTTAATAACCCAGGTCTTTATTTATAGTGTCTTGAATATATTGCTCCCCTACATGACTAAAAGACTCGGAAATATAAGATAGGAAGTAAAATTTATATTCCAGGTAAGGGATGAAACTTTAAAAAAAAACTTCGACTATTGATAAAAACAATGGCTCCCATTATAGTATTGTTATGACTGTCTTTACAGTAAAGAAAAAAATATTAATTGAAAGAATTATTAAATATATTACTGAACTATTCAATGTGTTTGCCATGAAAATTTATATTGTTTTTTTTTTAATTTATAAAATTTAAAGTGAGGCAGAGATTTTAATTGGGGGGGGGGGGAGAGGTTGAGGCAACATTTTCATTTCATGTTGTTTACGGGTCAGTCTATGGGCTAGATTACTTTTAATTTATAAGTTTTTAAGAATTCTGAAGTGTTCCTCATTTTAATATGCCAGCTGTAAATAAATATTCCTTCCTTATTTATTTATAAAAAACCTAACTCCTGATCTAGATTTATTAACCTTGAATAAATCTTCAATTTATGTTCCATATTTATTTATAAAACCAAATAGATAAATCTGTTTTTAATTTGTCTTCCTTCTATTTTATTTATTATTTCCTTCAATATTTAACTATAAAACCTAACTTCTTTTCTAGATATGTCGGCCTTGAATGAATCTCGTTCAACTGGATCTGTGAGAAGGCCATCTGTTAGAGAAGTAGTGCCAGCAAATCCTAGCACCGCAGAAGAAATAATTCGGATCAGGGGACAGTTGCTCGGCAACGTCCATTCCTCCCCCGCAACTACAGGTATGTTAATGGCTGTTAACTGCTGGTTTAAAGGGACTTCTGTATGTTGGTAGCAGGGATAATTTTCATAAGTCTACAGCTGTGGCTTGTTTTCTAAAGAAATAATTTATGTCATCATTTGCTTTAATCCTAATATTGATGTTGCTGTATTTATTGTAGACAACATCGAGTTCAATAGTGGTTAGAAAAATGACCTGTTTTCTTATTCACTGTCTCAATAAAGATGAACACTGTATTCTTATCTACTGTCTCAATAAAGATGAACAGTGTTTTCTTAAAAGGTGAACACAGTTTTCTTATTCACTGTCTCAATAAAGGTGAACACAGTTTTCTTATTCACTGTCTCAATAAAGATGAACATTGTTTTCTTATCTACTGTCTAAAGATGAACACTGTTTTCTTATTCACTGTCTCAATAAAGGTGAACACAGTTTTCTTATTCACTCTCTCAATAAAGATGAACATTGTTTTATTATCTACTGTCTAAAGATGAACACTGTTTTCTTATTCACTGTCTAAATCAGTGGTTCCCAACCTTTTTCGAGTGGCGACCCCCTTTTATAAAAAGTAAGTGACACGCGACCCCCATAGAATAAAAAGCCGAAATTAGTATGGAAATTAATAAGCACTAAAATAAGATTTTCTAGGAGACTTTCAATATGAACTACTCTTGATAACTGTTTTAATAGCATGAGTAAAATTGCATACTATTCACTAAACCTTCATGGTTAAGTTTTTAATTTTAATTTTTTTTTGTTAACGCCAACCTATGTCATTATAATTATCTTAATTGTGTTTTTAATCGAAGAATAGTGTTGAAAATATATTCTCGAAAAGTCAATAAATTTTACGTTCGGGTGTGAATGGTGAATACTACACCAAAATTGTGTCTGCAGTTTTTCATCTTACTCGGAATCATTCTGCAAATCAAAAAAATTCATCTTGTAATTCATCGGTAATGCTGGAAACATCAAGGGAAGAAGAGAATGGGTAATGCGTCAATGAAGATTCTTCTTTTTTAAGCTCAGAGAAATAGCGATGCAGTTTGTTTTCACGAGATTCAAGATGCCCAGAAATCGCTTCTTTCAAAATTGTAATTATCTCACAGTCAGATTCATCTACCACACCGCAGAGTTTCTCAAATTTACAATATTTCCAAGATTTATTTTGTTTACCGATTATGCAGCTTTGATAAAAATGCCCCGAGATTATCATGTTAAGTTATAATATTCGTTCATTTTCCCTGAATCTTCAGTTTAAGCTTATCTTGATGTTCGGACACATCTGCTAGGTATGATACTCTCTCCAACCACTCTATGTCATTTTAAGTATACCAAAAAGTCTTGTTTCCTTTGCACTTCCAAGAACAATTTGATTTCAGATTTCAATCCAAAAATACAATTCACAACATTTCGTTTGACAGCCAACGTACTGTAGTGTAGAAGAGCAGAACCTCGTGATCTATATTAATGTTTTTGCTCAGTTCTTTGAAGGCTCCAGATTTTATATAATTTACGACTTATACTGGCAATGGACTCTTGATGTCGATTGGTTAGGGCAGTGGTTAGGGAGCTAAATCTTTTCTGTTTTCTGAAAGCCCGATTTTGAGCTAAACATAGATGGCGCACCATCCGTACAAACCCCCACTACCGTTCTAACCCATTTTAATCATCCATTTTCAAAAAAGGTATTTATTTTCTCCATGCTATCTTCATAAAAGAGCAACTCTTCTTTGCTATCATCCGCGTGAATATAGACACAGACCAGCAACTGCGAACACGAAATCACGTCTGTTGATTTATCAACTTGAAAAGCAAACAATGGTGAAAGCTTAATTTCAATAAAAATGTGTTATTTAACATTTACGTACATGCAGCGTTTGATGAGATTTCCTCCTATTGTTTTTTCTTATTTTGCTTGGCATTTTCTATCGCGACTTCATTTGATGCTTGCACTAAAGCTGGTGAAAACTTCCTGTTCGATCAAGTCTCTGGCGTTTGCAACTAGCTTCTTACCGACGAAAGAACTACATATATTTTTTGGTGTGTTTCGAATGACTCGTCTCAAATGACGTTTTAGTTTTGAAGATTTCATAGATTCGTGACTGAGAACAACTTTGTACAGTGCGCTTTGTTTCTTCTCTATTACATTTCCAGTGATGTTAATGAAGCCGAATTTCAAAATAATCTTCTAAATATTTATGTTTTGTTTCAAATTACTAAGGTTTAGTATACCAGTTGGCGACCCCCCAGAAAGACCTTCGCGACCCCCAGGGGGGTCGCGACCCCCAGGTTGGGAACCCGTGGTCTAAATAAAGGTGAACACAGTTTTCTTATTCACTGTCTCAATAAAGGTGAACACAGTTTTCTTATTCACTGTCTCAATAAAGGTGAACACAGTTTTCTTATTCACTGTCTCAATAAAGGTGAACACAGTTTTCTTATTCACTGTCTCAATAAAGGTGAACACTGTTTTCTAAGTCATTCTCTTCATATAGGTTACAACTGTTTTGTTGTCCACTCCCTTAATAAAGTTAACAGCTGTTTTCATGTCAACAAAGGTGATAGAGAGCCCTGTATTTACTGGTTGTTTTGTTATCTTCTTGTAAATTGAATCGGCTGCATTTCTACAATATATTTCTTGTGCTTGTAAACACTTCCTCATCAGATAAGGCTCGATCCCTTCCAACACTAAAAATTAAGAACGGAGAAGAAGAAGTTGGTTTATTGTATCTTTGATTTTTTTTTCCCTTTTATGAGAAAAAATACAAGTGTGCAAAAAGCTCTCAAGGTTTACAGCTACTCTGGAACACTGTCAAGAACTGAGCTTTTCTCACACCCATGATTAAATGTGGGTTTCCACCAGGCTTGCACTTCCTCCCCCAGTGCATTGCACCACCTGGTTTGGACATGAGGGCAGTTCATACACGTGGCAATCAATGGTCTTGAGCCCAAGTTTCCAAAACTCGCGTCTTTTCACTCTAACGCTCAACCACACCGTCCATCTACCATTTACAACCACTGCCTTTAACAGTTGTTGTAACTAGCACTACACATTTTCACCCTAGTCAATAAATGTTCTCATTGTTTTGGCTATAATCCTAGAGCAGACTTTAAGAGCTCCCCGGCCTAACTTTATCTCAGCTGACAATGTGAATACACTGCCTTTTATAGTGCTAAGTGAGACACCTAACCTGCGAGCGATACACCAGGAACACCAGCAGTTAAACCAGGAAAGTGAGTGCTCTAAATTGTTCTGTTCAATGTGTAACTATGACTGAATTCTGTTGTTTGTTTTTAGTTACATGAATTTTCTTATCTATATTCTATTGAATATTTAAATACCTGTAGGACTAATTACATTGTAAATTGTAAAACAAAGCCGCCTTTCAAACTTGATGGTCAAAAGGCAGTTGAAGTAAATTTTATTTTTTACTTTGCCATAAAGGGTTTTTACAGTACTATTTCCGACCCCATAATTCCCCTTAACTGATGACTAATAAGGTGTTTCCAGACATTTTTCTTCAAGTGGGGGGGGGGGGGGGGGGACGCTGGTCAAAGTAATTTTTTTCTAAATAAATTATAAATTTTCTCTATTTCATTAGTGGGTGTGTGGCTCAAAGGAAGAGGGCTGTTGGTTTTTTTTTTGTTCTTTACAAGATGAAACCTTTTGGAAGCTATAGTATTTTTTTAAACCAATCTATAACAAGGTTTTTTTTTAAATATTTATATTGATTGTAATTTATTTTGTAAATTATAACACATTATTTCTCAGATGAAAGAGTTGGCAATTTGGAAGTAAGGCAGGGCCATTTGTTGCCCAGTGCTTTCAAGGAAAGTTTTCAAGAAAGTAACAGTGTAGCTGTTTCCATGGCAACTCTAGAAACCAGTGCTCACTCTAATGAGGAGCAAGAAATTGAGGTCTGTACTTCTCCAAGTTCTAGCTAACATTTAGTGTAGGGGTGATATACAGAGAAAATGCTAACTTAACTTTAGTGGAGTGTTGATGTGTTGAAATCTTCTCTCCCTCTTTATCTTAATCCCGTTCGTGTCAAAGACACATGGGGCAGTTGAAGTAGAGTTCATATGATTCATTGACTACGGCATATGAACGGATAGTGTGGTCAGCCCTATGCTCAGTCGCCTTTGTTTCCCTAACATAAATTAGGCACCTCAGAGCTGGGTGGACTCTCAGGTTAGCAGTCTAGCTCTCTACCGCTAGGCCACACCATCCCTGATGTGGTGAGCAATTGTTAGCTAAAATTGAGCGGAGGTGTAGTGTGGTGAGCAATTATTAATCAAAACTTAGAGCAGGGGTGATATGTTGAGCAAATGTTAATTAAAATTTAGTTGAGGAGTAGGATATGATAATGAAACATTAATTGAAATTTTAAGCAGGGGTGATATGTTGAGCATATGTTAATTAAAATTTAGTTGAGGGGTAGGATATGATAATGAAATATTAATTGAAACTTAAAACAGGGGTGAGGTGGTAAGCCAATGTTAACTAAAGTTTAGAGCAGCGTAATTTAGTGATGAAATGTTTACCAAATGTTAGAGTAAATTATGTGATACTGTGCTGAGATTAATTAAAAATACAATTTAAAAAAAAAAATAAGAAGCTAATCTATTAGCTTTGTGAATTCTGTGTTTTGCTTCTGTTGTACTGTTGTGAATAACGTGAGAAAATGAGGTAGACTAAAATTTTCATTAATAAGTAGTAATAGGACTCTATTTTGCCAGTTGTGATAAAATTTTATCCCGACTTTTGATCTCCCAGGAAATAGATAGGAAGTTCTATGATAGTGGAGTTGATGATGCCAAGACATTTCCTATGCTACCTACAGTCTTGCGAAGAAAATCTGATCATGTTGCCAAGGTAACACAATGTTGTTTTAGTCTGTTTATCATTAAGATGTAACATAAATTTTCTTTTTTTTAAATCATATGTAAAAATGTGCGTTTTTGTTATTTAATAACGTAACTTCATTACCTTTTTTTTTCAGTTTATCTGTACCTCTAAAAATAACATGTAATACATTATTGATACAATATAAGTTAACGTAAGTTGCCCCTTCTGACCTGGTAGTTCACTGAGCAGATGAAGTAGAGTTCATTTGTTTCTTTAAATTCAATATATAATAGAGTAGTTTGGCCAGATGCCTTTACTTTCCTCAGGTAATAGTTGGGGTATGGTCTGCCAACCAAATATTTCCTGAGTCCTCTATCCTGTGCCATTTTTTCAACCTGACTCCAGGTGTAGCCCATCTTTATGGTTTCAGCTGACTCAAGGGGTAGCCCATCTTTATGGTTTCAGCGGACTCCAGGTGTAGCCCATCTTTGTGGTTCAACTGACTTCAGGTGTAGCCCATCTTTGTGGTTTCAACTGACTCCAGGTGTAGCCCATCTTTGTGGTTTCAACTGACTCCAGGTGTAGCCCATGATTTTAGCTTTAAGGTCCTGTTGCCGGGGGTTTCCTTGGTTGACATCTTGCGCTTTACTGTGGTCTTCATAGTTTTAAAAAAAGGCACATTTTACATTTCCTCCTCACAAAATTTGTCCACTAACATTTTATCTTTTTGTTGGTTTTGATTTTGGCTTTTGCTTGATACTCCATCAGAAAGGCCGTCAGTCTATGTCGGTTCAGTCGCTGCCAGATTTGTGCCGCATCCAGTCCAATTTTAGTGCAGCAACCTTCTGGGTGGGCACCACAGATCCTGATGTTGTCATAGGTATTCTGGACATGTACTCAGAAATAGGCAAGTGTTGCTACTGCTTTAAAAGTTTAACAGTTGTGTCTGAGTGTTGCGATAGGAGTTTTAATTTGATTAGGCCATGTTTAAAATAGTGGGCTGTAAATAAGATAATGAATACTTTTTAAACTTGAGGTTGTGACATGTGGACACAAAACTCAAGAAGAAATATCTTTAACTGTATAGAAATTGATTTATAGACTAGTGTTTATAGCAATTAACGTGAGAAATAAAACAAAGCTCTATATTCCTTGCTAATATGAGGTTTAAATGAGGACATTTTTATGCTTAATCCTTTTTTATGTATATAATTTTATTTGCTTAAAACTTATTTTAGTAAATGTTTATAACTTAATACCTTAACTTCAAAATCAGTTGTGATAATGGCTTAGTACTTAAGATATGATTTATTTTGTAGTACTGCTGTAATATAATCTGTTTCTTTACACTGTTCTCTCAGATGTTGTCTACATGTCTCCAAAACTGCCTCCAACAGCGCCCGACTATTCACCTTACTATATGCATATGGTGTTACCTGGATGTGTAGATGTCATGAATTACTGTGTGGTTGGACGCCAATCTGTCGTGCGTTACATTAATGGGGTATGTTTTGGGTGAAAGTTGAGACATAATAATTTTCTCAACATATTGAAAGGTTACAGTTCTTTAAACAGTAGACATTAATACACATTTTATTCTTCATTGTAAAAAAAACAATATTAATTGCTATGCACTAAAACGATATAAATGATGTTTATATGATATAATGCGACGAATTTTTTTTTTTTTTTTCAAAATGCTGGTTTGTATATTCAGTATTACATCAATGTTTATTTTGCCAGTATCACTAGAATTTATTTGAAGGGCTGAGTTTGAGCAATACTAGTAAACCATTGATTTAATTCACCATATTAGTATTTAAAGGAGTGCTCTTTTGTATTGTAATGTAGAATGATAAAAAAACAATGGTTTTTTTTCTTACAGAAACAACCACACAGAATGTCAACCAAGCGATGGGCGTTTGAACAGAAAGTTACTGTAAAACTGAGAAACAACAAGTTCTTTAAGAATTTCAGACTGATAAAGGCATTTAATGCGTAAGATACAAAAATATTCAGCCACAACTATTTCTTTATTTGCTAAGAAGTTAACTAACAAAAAAAGTTCTGAGAGTTTGAGATAGAAAGCTTGTTAAAGTTAAAGCTTGTTATAGACTGTTAAGGTCATGTATTGTGTAAGATAATCACAAAAGTTTAATGCAACAAAATTATTTGTTTATAAGAAAAATATTTAAGATTCTAATCTGTTATTTAATTAATTTATCTCGAAGAATCTAAGTAAATTCTGTTTGTGTGACTCGTTTTTATATTCTTGCGCTGTTTTTGTGTATCCTTGGATTTTCCCACCATTACAACATTCATAAAAATAGCTCATTTTATAAAAAAATTTTTTTAAAGGGGTTGATTCAAAATAACAAGCATGTTAGCTGTATTTGAAAAAAAATGTAATTTCTATTATGAGTTACCTCCCTGGATTATATACAATACTATTGTGCCACCCTTTTGGCTTATTCATTCAATGTTCAGTAATAATATGATACATTCTAAGGAACCAATTCATGCTAAACTTTTTATTTCTTTAATAATTTTTATCATATTTTAAATTCCAGACTCGCCCAGAGCCAAGACATGAGAAAGTTTGGGAAGACACAAAGAAAGCTGCGGAGTATATTAAACATTTGTCACCCCCTGTTTAGTGAGACCCTTCTTCTGGTGCAAGCCATGTGTCTCAACATGGGGGACTTGTCTATGACACAAATAGACCCTGAGGTACTTTTATTGAATCAGCTTTGGTTATTGTCATAGTTTTCTTAGGGAACAGTAATTAGTCTTGTCAAAATAATCTTTTATTTGCTTATTCATTTAAAAATAAATATTTACTGTATTGGCAATATATTAAAGCTTTTGAAAAATTAATGATAAAATTAAAAATTTGTTAAAAGTATTTGTATCAAATATTGTTTTTTTACTCGACTAAAATGAAGTACCTCCCACTCAACTAGGCTGATAAGGTAGAGCATCAGTGGGACATCCTTGGTACATACCTCTGGTTTAATTATTCCTTATGTTGTAACACTTACTTTGTTGAAACTAAAAATAGGCAGTAGTATGTCTTTTAGTTTACTCACCTCTCAATAGTTTATCTTTTCCACGTTCACTTTCTTTTTGGGAGAGTTAATGATTGCTCTATAGGATGTCCATAAATCTACTATTAGTTTATCTGTTTCTGATTTATGGGTGGTCTGTAGTACACCACTGAGCCTCCACTGATAATTTATTCAGTGTATAGTTAACTTACACTTTGGTTGAGTTCATGGACGCTCTGTAGGTTGTCCCTTAGTCTACCATTGGTTTATCTATTCCATGTACAGCTGACTTACACTTTTGGAGAGTTCATTGATAGTCTGTAGGATTTTCCTGAGTCAACCACTAGTCTATTCCCTATGCAGTTGACTGACACTTTGGCAGAGTTCATGTAGGACATCAATCTATCATTTGTTTATCTTTTACCTATACAGTTGACTTACACCTTGGGAGAGTTCATTGACTCTGTAGGATTTCCTAGTCTACCATTGGTTTATCTATTCCTTATACAGTTGACCTACACTTTGGCAAAGTTCATGTAGGACCTCCCTGAGTCTACCATTTGTTTATCTATTCCCTATACAGTTGACCTACACTTTGGGAGAGTTCATTGATAGTCTGTAGTATTTCCCTGAGTCTAACACTGGTGTATCTATTCCCTATACAGTTGACTTACACCTTGGGAGAGTTCATTGACTCTGTAGGATTTCCTAGTCTACCATTGGTTTATCTATTCCTTATACAGTTGACCTACACTTTGGCAAAGTTCATGTAGGACCTCCCTGAGTCTACCATTGGTGTATCTATTCCCTATACAGTTGACCTACACCTTGGGAGAGTTCATGGACGACCAGGAGCACTACATCCGTGACGTGAGCCTCAAAGTCCAGCGCTACTACTCCATGCTGCACCACCTGACCATCCGCACCTGCTGGGACGATGTCATCAATGCTGGGCTGGCAGTAGAGAGAGACGAAAGGAAATACTCCGCCCCTAAGAGGGTTAATGAGCTGCGCAAGATGCAGAGAATGAAACACAGGTTAGAGTTTTGCATGTTTGCTGTGTTAAACAGATTTACGGTTAAGTTTTATTCTGGTTATAAGGTTAAAATCCTATTGGTGCCACCCCACACCCCCCCCATTTATTTTTTATATTTATACAAAATAGCAGCTAAAATGAGCTTATTTTGACGCCCCGGGGTCGGAACCCGGGGACATATTTACACTTGACTTTTTACCAGAAATTCTTGAGTTCTGTTCATATGCCGTATGCTTTTAGATTACCCAGCTAGAAATTAAGTAACGGCACTGAACTCCACTTCATTACAATAAGGAGTGTTTAGTCTGGAAGGAAACTTTTTATAAGATTGTATCATCTGTTCATTTTAATAATTGGGACAACAAGTCTATCCTCTCAATCGCAAGAGTTCACTGTGGGCTCAATGATACTTTCTTACATCCTCAAGTTGAGCTAAGTAATAGTAAAACAAGCAGAAAAGGAGGCATACAAAGAAACAAAACATCTTTAAATCTGAAAAAAAAAATCCTTTATTATTTTTTTTCCTATTTCCCAGACTAACTAACTTATTAGTCAATTACTTATAGCATGATATGATAGAGTTTGATACCTGTAGGAGAAATAAAGTTAAATAACTCTGTCCAGTCCTCCCACTGGGAACAACAAGCCTGAAGACTTAGACATTGGTGTGTGGGTTGATGCAAGCCAAGATGTGAAGGAGGACCTGGATGCCAGAAGGATCAGCCAGTGCACACGGCTGGCTAGGCTCATATACCAAATTGATTGTCTGTTTTGCAACACCTTGCACCAAATTTACATCAATTCCTTATCTGTAAGTTAGAACAATAACTAAATTTTTTTTTTAAATTTTTGGTTAAGCTTGGTATACATCCTAAGCTAACACATATTTTTAGTGCATAATCAAGTACATTTATATCAATAAAATAAATATTCTGTGTATTAATGTTTATTAATTATTGATCTATTTTTTTGTAGTTTTAAAACCAACAGCTATCAAATTTTTAAAATCCCCTTCATTTTCATTTAATTTAAATTGGTGTTTTTTATTTTTTTAAATATTACGGTAACAACTATTTTCATTGAGGTATTATATTTATCAATACTAAATTTAATTATGAACCTTATTTTTTTTTTAACTTGTTATGATGACAACAAAAAACAATATAATGTGTGGTATTAAGTAAGCAAAAAAATTATGATTCTACAATTCCACAGAAAACAGCAAAATACTTATCTCAACAAATGGCCACATTCCCCTCCAGCGATGAAATTAAAAATATTGTCAAAGGTTACATTGCCGATCTGGATATCCCAAACATTTTGGAGGACGGCAGTGATGATGACAACGATGATGATGACGACAAAGCAGGTGTCAGTGGTTTGGGTGGAAATGATCAGAAAGAAACTTTAGAGAAAAGTAAAGGGGATACCCCAAAAACTGATCAACAAGCGCCTCCATCTGGGGCTGTTGCACAGATGGAAAAATCTAATGCACCGAACGTGTTGATCGTGCGAAATGTGGTGGATTCATCATCCACAGCGCCGATGAGTACAGCATCCGTCCAAACAAACTTCAGGTCGGATTCAGTCGGGATGGATACAAGTTCCGTATACGACAACGCAGAGTACATCCCCTTCATGCGGGGTGACATGGACTTGTCTGATTCGCTAGATACCACATCATCAACCATATCTGACGATGATGATGCTAATTCTATGGGCAATCACTTTGAATACGTGGAGTACCCCGTCAGGGATATTGAACAGGTGGACTTTCTAGATTTAGATGCTCCGGCTATAACTGGCACGGAAATGAGAGTCTACAGAATGCCGAATGAACAGACGTACGACGAGTTGATGAATGACCAAGTTGTGACCGGCGTGGAGGAGACTAACAATGAAGATGTGACCATTATTGATCACTTCGGAACAATTGAACCGGTGGAGTTGATCAACGATGATGACGAGCCGTTATCCGAGGATCTCACCATAACTTCTGATGACAAATTCAATCCAGGAATCTCACAGAATGTTCCAACCTTCTTCGTGACCACTGACGCTGCCCAGCAGCGCTACCTGAATTCTAAGGTGTTCCCACCTTTTGACAAGCTTAAAGACTTGAAACTGAAGCAAAAAATTAATGAGAAAAAAAGCAAGCCGATCAAGAATGAATTGGTTTTATTAAAGAACACTATTCCCGTGCAGCAAAATATGTTGAAAGAAAAAGCAAAGCAAGGAAAGACGATCATGGTTACACCAAATAAAGAAGTTTTAAAGGTGAAAATGGATGTCTCTGAGGATGAAGCCTGTGAACACATCAGCCAGGCTGAAACAGGGAAGCTGTTAAAGGATTCTCAGCTCTCTGGAGTTTTCAGCCACCTGTTTGACCAAGTTCTGGAATCTTCTGTAGACAAAACAGCTGACCACACGGAGGTTGTTTTGGATTTTCCGATACTGGACGGCACCACATGGGAGACTCAGAATATTGGTCAGTATATGAATATCCGAAGCTCGACAAGTACATCAGTCGATGCATCCGTTTCTACACCAAGTGGGACATGGCCGAATAATGTTCCTGAAAATAAGGCGGACAATAAGCAGCTAGGCAACGATGATTCCTCTCTTAGTTCAGGATCGAGTAAAAACAAACCGTTTGCGTCCAAAGGTTTCCATGACATTAATTCCCAAAAACCCAACCGGAAGGAGGGCAGCGACAGCAACAACAATGTCATCGGGGAAGACAGCGTAGATGGACACATGGACAGCAACATTGACCGTGTGACCTATCCTCTGTCCCCGTGCCAACCAACCGTTTCTTTCTACACTGTGGAGAAGAAACAGACCAAAGAGAGCGAGAAAGGTGAAAGTAGCCAGATAAATATTTTGGAGTTTCTGGCTCGTGAGATGGAGTATCCACATAGTCATGTGGATTACAACACGTACCACAACTCCACCCGCAGCTTGTATCCAGGCAGGTCGATACCGGACACGTTTGTTGAAGAAGTATCTGACGACGTATCTAAGTCGGATATCCTGGTCGATCGTAAAAACGGTACAAGGATAACGTCGGATGAATCAAAGAATTTACATATCATAGCTAGAACAGGAGTCAGGAAAGATGGGGGGAAGCGAAGAAAAGGCGGAAAGACAAGTGGCGGTTTGTCTGCCAGTGGGGAGGTTGTTGCTGGTGGTAATGTCCAGTTACAGTCAACACAGGGAAGTCTCGGGTCTCCTGTCGTGAAAACTGGCAGCCTTTCTAAGTTGGTTTCATTTTCTAATGTTGACAGCAGCTTGACCGATGAGGCCCCGTCCAGCTTGGGTAAAGAGGGCTGCAGCGTGAGTAGAATGGACGGCCAGAATGCGCTGAGAGACACAACAGGGAGTATGTTAATTAGAGCAGCATCGTTTGATGATCTGAGGGAAGACTCTGCAGACATAAAAAACATCAGGGAAATGTTTTCCTACCAGATTAGTTCTCCCAGACCCGAGCTGAACGATGCTGGTCATGACGTTGAACAGTCCAGCATTCACAATAGCCCTAACCCTCGGTTTAACAGCCCGGTGCTAACCTACCGTGTGTCCAGTAGCGTCCAGTTGGACGACATCACCGAGAATCAGCTCGTTAACATCATCGACCAACCACTGCAAGACGAGGCGGATAATAGTTTAACACTATCCGGGGGCGCGCCAGCGGATGTGGAGAAAAATGTATCCACAAACCGGAAAGAAAACGCTGATAGTTTAGTTTTGGATCAACAGTCCACGGTATCCAGCTCAGGCCAGGAAAGCACAGATTCCAATGAGAAGCAACAGAACAGGAACTGTTTGTTGGCAGGGGGAGGGGGAGGCTCTGGGCCCACAAGTAAAGTCCAGCTGGGGGTGGCGACTGGTCGAGAGATCAAGCCAATGTTTCATGCTGCGATTCATATCAAGGATGATGTGGTCACTATGATGCCCGATGTTTATGATTTTACCGGTGCTGCATTCAATATGATCCATGACATGGAAGAGGTAGGTGTTATTTTAGTCTTTGGGGTTAGTATTGAGGGTGGGGGGCTTAGAGATTTTGACAGACATTTAGACTGACAGTAGCACATCTAGGATGATGGTAACACATTTAGACAAATGGTAGCACATCTAGGATGATGGTAGCACATTTAGACAAATGGTAGCACATCTAGACTGATGGTAGCACATTTAGACAAATGGTAGCACATCTAGACTGATGGTAACACATTTAGACAAATGGTAGCACATCTAGGATGATTGTAGCACATTTAGACAAATGGTAGCACATTTAGACAAATGGTAGCACATCTAGGATGATGGTAACACATTTAGACAAATGGTAGCACATCTAGACTGATGGTAGCACATTTAGACAAATGGTAGCACATCTAGACTGATGGTAACACATTTAGACAAATGGTAGCACATCTAGACTGATGGTAGCACATTTAGACTGGTGGTAGCACATTTAGATAGAGCACATCTAGATTAGACTGATGGTAGCACATCTAGACTGATGGTAGCACATTTAGACTGATGGTAGCACATTTAGACGAATGGTAGCACATCTAGACTGATGGTAGCACATTTAGACAAATGGTAGCACATCTAGACTGATGGTAACACATTTAGACAAATGGTAGCACATCTAGGATGATTGTAGCACATTTAGACAAATGGTAGCACATTTAGACAAATGGTAGCACATCTAGGATGATGGTAACACATTTAGACTGACAGTAGCACATCTAGGATGATGGTAACACATTTAGACAAATGGTAGCACATCTAGACTGATGGTAGCACATTTAGACAAATGGTAGCACATCTAGACTGATGGTAGCACATTTAGACAAATGGTAGCACATCTAGGATGATTGTAGCACATTTAGGATGATGGTAGCACATTTAGACAAATGGTAGCACATCTAGGATGATGGTAACACATTTAGGATGATGGTAGCACATTTAGACAAATGCTAGCACATCTAGGATGATGGTAGCACGTTTAGGATGATGGTAGCACATCTAGACTGATGGTAGCACATTGAGACTAATGGTGGCACATTTAGACAAATGGTAGCACATCTAGTATAATGGTAACACTTAGGGTGGGTACTTCTAGATCTTTTGGTAACTCTAGGAGTATGGAGTCCTTGACTGATGTGATATCTCAACTAATGGTAGCTTTGAGGTTACAGCTTATAGATGTTGATATACTTCCAGTGTGGAGAAATAGGCTGAGTAGAACTAGTGATTTGTTGATCTTATGGCTAGCACTAGTGGTGTAAGGATGTAGACTGATGGTAGAACAAGGAAATTAAGAACTTAAAAAAACAAGTCATTACACATATTTTATACTTTTACATTTTTCAACTAGAAGTATCGTTTACTGTTGTATGTTTATCTTATACTAACAGCTCACCCAACAAAAACATATGCTGTCAAGGATTTTTAGTTTTAGTTCTACTCAACTAAGATTGTTTTAGTGATGGATGTTTGACTGAAAACAATGCACCAACTTTGGTACATGTGTGATGCCTAACAGGGCCTTATCATAGTAAATTTTGGCGGGTACTTACATTATGTCCTTAAAACTAAGGCTAGCCTTAACAATATCCCTAAACCCAACCCTCATCCTTGCAGTAATTCTATAGTTAATGCCCTGCCTGCTTACATAGAAGAGCCATATGTTAAAGTCTTTCTTAGACTGTACCTGTGTTTCATTGAGGACTTTACCTTCACAGCACCTGCTCAGCTTTGAAACCCTGACATCCAACGCATGGTTCCAGACTTTTGTCCAGCCAGCATCACTCAAAGAAACCAACAAGAAAATCAAGGGCCCAAGCCTAGAAACTATATTACGTCGGGATCCCAATTTTGTCAAGTAAGATAATATCTAATTGCATGGAAGGTTTTTTAAAATTAATAATTAATATATTTCATTACTGTAATTCTGTAAAATGCTGTAAAAAGAAGGTTAACTATTCATTTTTGAATAGGTTGAAACTGTTTTCAAAGCTATTTCCAAAACGTGTAATTTGAAATTTCAATGTTTAATAGGTTTATATAATATGTTTAGTGTGCTGTTTTGCACTAGAAATTATAAAAAGGGCCTATCTATATCTGTAAACCCTTGTTTATTTTTTTATTGTGTTTAAAGGGTTGATTTAAGTTTCGTTCAATACTTATAAGAATGGGAAGTTTTTATTTAAGTATTTTATTCACAGGGAGAAGAATGAGATTTATGGGGCCATAGATGGCATGTTTTTCTTTGCTGGGATCTACCTAGGGGAGATGCAGCAGCTCTACAGCAAGTACTTCCAACACAGGTACCTGCTCACTGCAGACAGGGAGCCCATTTATTACCTGCAGATGCTGCAGTGGCATGATACACAGGTATGTCCAGAAGTTTTGTTTTAGGTTATGGCCAGGAAGATTAAACAATTTTTACTTATCTATGTATTTTAGTTTTTTTATTATTGATGTCACATATATAAAAGAGGCTGGTTCTAGCGTGGCAGCATTTATTTTTAGACAAATAATATCATGATAAGCATAGTAATTCATGTTAGGAGGGGGGTGGATATAACAAAAATGAAATTTAATTCAGACAAATCTTTATATAAGTGTATTTGTCTGATTACATTATATAACAATTTATTAACAATTTTTAATATAAACTTCCATGTATTAAACATGGACAGAATTTATATTAATTTATTACAGGTTTTTAAAAACACATTTTCATTAGTGAATTTTAATTTTTGATAAGTTCCTTTATCAGATATTATAAATATTTTCTACATAAGGAACTTATCAAAAATTAAAATTCACTAATGAAAATGTTTTGAAATACCTGTTGAAAATACTTATAATATCTGCTAAACACCCTGTTTTTTTAATGCTAGAATCTAAAAAGCAAAAATCTGCATTTAGATATAATTCTTCAGCTAAACTTAAATTTCAGTTGAAAAATCTACATGATTATTTCAATGGAAGATTATTGAAAGATTATTTCTATTAAAGATTATTAAGATGAAGATTATTGGCTTGTTTATTTCAGTTGAAGATTATTGGTGAAAAATTGTTGCGATGTTTATTCTAGTTAAAGAATATTGATCCTTTATTTCAGTTGAAGATTATTGGTGAAAAATTGTTGCGATGTTTATTCTAGTTAAATAATATTGATCCTTTATTTCAGTTGAAGATTATTGGTGAAAAATTGTTGCGATGTTTATTCTAGTTAAAGAATATTGATCCTTTATTTCAGTTGAAGATTATTGGTGAAAAATTGTTGCGATGTTTATTCTAGTTAAAGAATATTGATCCTTTATTTCAGTTGAAGATTATTTGTGAAAAATTGTTAAAGAATATTGATCCTTTATTTCAGTTGAAGATTATTGGTGAAAAATTGTTAAAGAATATTGATCCTTTATTTCAGTTGAAGATTATTGGTGAAAAATTGTTGCGATGTTTATTCTAGTTAAAGAATATTGATCCTTTATTTCAGTTGAAGATTATTGGCGAAAATTGTTGCGATGTTTATTCTAGTTAAAGAATATTGATCCTTTATTTCAGTTGAAGATTATTGGTGAAACAGTTGCGATGTTTATTCTAGTTAAAGAATATTGATCCTTTATTTCAGTTGAAGATTATTGGTGAAACAGTTGCGATGTTTATTCTATTTAAAGAATATTAATCCTTTATTTCAGTTGAAGATTATTGAGAGGCTCCCTGAATCCCAGAGACTTGGGACCTTCCTCTTTGACCTGACCCCATACAAAGACAGCGTCCGCCTGATCACCACAGACAACCTGAGCCTCATCCAGCTACAGCTCAATGGCGACGCAGTGCAGAAAACACAGAGGCTCATGGAGGTATACACACAGTCTTTACACTTTTGGCATGGTAATCAATGTGTCCTAACGGGTTTGAGAATAATTCTGATGAGCCGACCCGCGGCGTATCATATGCCGCTATTTAGTTGTTTTATTTTCTACTTTTCAGTAATTCATAATTTGTGAATTCGACAGTACCAATGCTGCCACTGAAAATATTTGCTTTAAAACCTGGCTCTATGTTTGTAAACATTTAGCGTGACCACAGCTCACCAGACCATGTGGTGGGTGGGGGTGGTAGTGATAGAGAGGAAGAGAGGGGACTGCAAGGTCTATATATAGATGTTTATTCATTGCACCTGAACGTTGTTTTAGGTGGTTTTAGGTTTTGAAAATACTGACAGAAGCTAGAAATTGTAAGCTTTGTTTTAAGTTTCTCTTGTATCTCTAGGCGCTAATATTTTCAGATTTTAAAATGCTTCAACAGTCAATCTGGTATCAATTATAATATAGATAATACAAATGAAATTAATGTTATTTTTATTAGTACATTTTTAAGTTATTAAAACTCAATATTCAAATATAATAAAGCAAGGCTATTTTCTGTATAACTCAATTAATATATGTAACAAAATGTAAATAATAAAAACCAAATTTTAAAAAACATTTCCTTCTCAACAAAATATAATGTAACTACTTTTATTTGTGTTGGGAATCCTTTTTCCCTTTTATAGAAAATTTTTATGGTTAAAATATTTATTAAAAGATTATTTATAGCTACATTTCAATTCTTTTTTTTTAAAGTAATAATTTTGTGAAATTTCAAATAACCATTTGAAAATAAATTCTAATTATTTGTGGAAATTTAGCAGCGCATCTTGAATCTGGCAAAAAAAAAGTTTTTTTTTATTTTCGATGGTCCATGACTGAATCTAAATTTTCTAACTTTCCCCCAGAAATTTGAGCAGATTTTGTCTGTGTTGGAGAGTAAACCCACTTTGTTGGATGACCTGTTCATTCGCCTCACCACAACAGATAAACTCTCCGACATTATTCAGGATGTGGAGAACAAGGATGTCAACCACATAGCTGAGTTGTACAATATTATAGACAGGTAAGCATCACGTACAACAGTTCAAAATATTGGCTCAATGTAGGCTTATAAGAGATAAGAGGAGCATGAAAACATTTGTATACTAAAGTATTTCAGGCCTTAATTACTTTATTGAAATCTTTGTTTATCTCTGCAATTTGCTAATCTCTATAATATATAAAGCAAAGTTGTCGGGTGCCCAATAGGGCACTTCCCGGCGCCGCAGGCGCTTCAAATTTGGCAGGATCTTGCCTTGTGGCGACAGAACACGGGGGCAGGTTGGCCGAAAAGTCTACGATGAGGGGTCAACACTGACCGGCGCCTTATATGAGCTATAAATTGAAAAAAAATGTCCACGTAGGAACCTCTTCATAACTCCTGAGGTCGTAGACCGACCCTAGGTCGAATTAATTAAGCATTCAAATTCTCAATGTTTTTAAAAGCCTAAGCGAAGCTGGGCAGCATGCCTAGTAAGAGATAAGAGGAGCATACATATGCTGATCTAGTCTTGTGTTTACATACTGGGCTGTCCCTGAGTTTTTTCAGCACTTGTGGGTACCTGGTTAGAGTTGGGGAAAACAGTAAGCTGGGTGCAGTTCTGTATATACAATCTTTCTATAAGAAGAGGCTAAAGAAACATGAACTCTACTTGCCCTAAGGACTATCCTATCTGAAAGAGTGCTTTACATTGTATATAGGCCTATATGTTGTCAACAATAAGTGTAGATGTTTGTGTGATCAAAGTTTCACCTGTATGAAGGAATTTATTAGACACTGCCTCAGTGTCTGATACAACCAAGTCTAATTGTAGACCTGAAATTAACCCTCCTTATGTTTCATGGATTTTATTTGCAACTCTTGTTTAAAATGTGATAGAAATGGCTAACTTAAGCAGCCACTTATTATATTAATGGCTAGTCTTAATGTATTTTTTTATTTTTCAAAAATTAATTTGTTAGTTTACTTGTCATTTCTGATTTTAAGGACATGGGCGGGTGTACTTTTCGTCATAAATCCACTAAATCATCGATTTCCCACTTTTACTTGATCTATACAGAATAACCATCGTTGAATCTAAAAATGACATTGTTATGACCCTAAAAACAGTATTTATTTATAAAAAACCGGGTTCAAAGTAGTGTGTACAGGGTCATTTGTTAATTTTTTGGTAAAAATAGCCATTTTTCGACCTAGAAAAGTACTATTAGGCTTCACGGAAACCTAATGTGTTTCATATCAATGGAAAGGCCGTGACCTCCTTTCTTTATTTGTTCTAAAATTAAAGGACCAATCAAAATACTTATTTTAATGTGATTATTTTTCTACGTCATAAAGTTGTTTATTTTACTCAGTCGGGTTTTTCCGGTATGCAAATTTTTGACCTCAATTTTTTCATTGGCGTTCAACGGCGGAAGCTAGTTAGCGATTGGTCGTTTCGCTTCGGAAGTAAACATTCCCTTAGTTTCAGCGCGTTGCTAAGTTTGATCTAGTTTTGTTTCTCTAAGCTTCTGTGAAATACTTACATATTTTAACATATAATTATTTCAATTAAATATACTATTAACAGTTTAGATTAGTTTGTTTGAATTATCATAAGCAGTGAGACGATTTAATTTGTTTCTCTTTCGATAATGGGTCGAACAAAACACTCGCTAAAAATAGATACACACAAACATCTAACTAAAGCAAGGGCACGTCCGAATGCAACTGATAGCAGCTACCTCTACTCAATCTAGCACTATTCAGACAAGCACTGGTGTAGATGTAATATGCACATTTACTAAGAAACTGCGACAATGTAAGACAGAGTTTTTACAGACAGAAGAGAGCACTGTTACATCTAGTACTGGTAGTGCTAATTGTAAACCACAGCCATGCAGAATTATTGTCGAATGTGATTTGCTTCTTGATGTTATCAATACATTTCCTCGCCCACTGTGATGTAGTGGCTACTATTGATGAAAACAGTGTAAAGGGTTTACTTCAAGCATGGTGTGGCAGTAATAAAAATGTTGTAAACCGTAAGTATACAACTGCAAAAGAATCCAGAACAAGGCCAATCACAATAAACAAAGACATCGTCTTATCATAATTGGCTTTAGCAGTGGCGTAGGCAGGGGGGGGGGGGGTTAGGGGGGGGTCAAAACCCACCCATAGAACCCTCGGTATATATAATCGCAAGTTTGAGGGGGGGGGTGCAAATGGAAAGTTTGTCCTCGGGTAAAAATTGGACCCCCCCCCCCCCCCCCCCCCCCTTGAGACGATCCTGGCTACGCCACTGGGCTTTAGACATGAGACCATGCAAAATATACTGCTGTTTCTGCGATAGCATAATTCAATTTTGGGCCCAGGCATGCTATGGCATTGCTGTCAAAAGAAGGAAACCATAGTCGAAGACTCAATGAAGGACGCCAAAAAAGACGCGTTGACAACAGCTTTTCTACAGCTCTAGGTAAAACAAAGAGCGCCAGAAAAAAAGAAAACTAACAGCTGAACAAGCTCAGAAGGAATATATTCAGCAGCACCATACTTCAGGCTATGAATGTGGTCGATTTTAGTGACATACAGCTGTAAATTTTCATTTTTTGCAACTTTTTGTTGGTTTTTTGCGTTTTTCTCAGTTTGATGTTTTTTTGTACAATTGTTGAAATAACTTTGTTAATAATTATCAGAACTGAACTAAATTTGCTCCAGTTACTCTGTATATATGTTCAAATAAAACTTATTGAACACTTGGAATTTTTGTAAAGATTTTTTTTTTATTGTTTAAATAGTGAAAAAATTGGACGAAATAATGACATTTTTACAGTGATGTATCGAAAAAAAAAAGTAAAAAAAAAACTATCTTCTTTTTTTAAAATGTAATCAATAAGAAGTCTTAAACACTAGTGTCTGCAGATTATATTAAGTTTTCATGAAATTTGTACAAACCATTTTTGAGTTATTTCCATTTAAAAATCATCAATAAAATCCAATATGGCCGCCGTCACCATGGCAACAGAGGATTTAAAAAATTAAAAAAAATATTTTTATGCTTAACTCTTTGAGTTATAACTATTAGCCAAGTATTACATCTTTAGACTTGGAAATAAAGAAGTTGGTACTCATCACCCGCCCATGCCCTTAAAAACAAAGTTTCTTTCATTTTCCCTAGGTTCTATAAATTTGACCCTACCTTATACCCTTTTAAGTCTTTGGTAAAAATGCTTTACAACTCAAAATCAATCAACAACTCATGGCCAGTTACCCCTGTATCTTACCCACTGCCCAATAAATGGGAATAGGATATTACACATCTATTGGAAATCGACTAAAACTAATCTTAATAATAAACCTAACCTTACTGTAATTTAATGGTAAGCTTAGCGATAGAATTAGGGTTAGCAAATTCTTAACTTTCTCAGTTTGGGATTCTATATAATGTTTAGGCCTAGTACAAATTATTATTTATTTGATACTCTTTATATAGAATGATGTTTCTCCTATTGCCCTAATTGCTGATAGCGCATGTTTAGTACGTATTGTTGAGAGGGGCAATAACCTTGTTAGAAATTTATCTGGGGTCAATGTCCTAAACCTCACATATTTTCAGATTTGCTGTCCCCCACACCGAGGCAGACAGGAGAGTCTTTGAATCCTGCCATTACATGATCTCAGATATCAGGCGAGCAGGGGAAGTAAGCCTAGCAAGCAGGACTGAAATGATTCAAGGATTAGAGCAGTGCCTGGACAGGGACATCTTGTGGATTCAGCTGCAGGTAAACTGTCTTCAACTCTCATCACCTGCCACCATTTGTTTCTTAAGTGTCGTCTATAAATGATGTCACATTCCTGGGGGGAATGGGGTTTTGACTTTGTGATGAAGGAGGTGGATTTTTTAAAATAAATTCCTGGAAACACTTTTGCATTTTAAAAAGTAATACTAGAAACTGAATTTAAGTTGGCATTTCATGTTGTTAAGAACTTTGTGAATCGCACTAACAATTGATCAATATTCTCAAATAATAATTGATCAATATTCACTAAGCACAATAAATATTTGATAAAAAATTCCAGTAAAAATTACATTGCAATTTTAAAGTGGTTAGTACTATGATGTAATTTTAGGGAGGGGGGGGGGAGTAGTCTTGCTTTGTATGATGATGAGGGGGAGTAAAAAATCATTTTAAAAAGCTGATTTTTACGGATTATCCGCTATTGCAGTTTGTAATTTCTTTTCTTTGTGAAAACCCTGTTTTATAGATATATAGATTTCTTGCTTCATTTATAATACATATAATCCTGAGTAAAAAATTTTGTATTGTTTTGCCTATTCTTACATAAAAATTACATAACTTTTATTTCCTGATAGTTTAGTTGGACCTAAAATAGACCTACATTTAAATTCTTTTTCCTTTGTCTTGTGAAAAGAATGGTACAGTAATTTCCTAACAGTTTCTAAGGACCATACAATAGGCCCAAATGTTTCCTCTATTAGGTGAATGTTACTGTAATACCCTGATAGTTTTTTTGAACCTAAAATATGCCCAAATTTTTTCTCTATCATGTGAATAGAATTGAACTGTAACTCTTTGATAGTTTATATAAACCTGAAACAAGCCCAAATATTTCCTCTATCAGGTAACTAGAATGGTAGGGGCCTACTGTAATTCCCTGATAGTTTATACCTACCTAAAATGTGCCCAAATGTTTCCTCTGTCAGGTGAAATGAACAGTACTGTAATTCCCTGATAGTATGTACGTACTTAAAATAGGCCCACATTTCCACTATCAGGTGAATAGAATGGTACTGTATTTCACTGATAGTTTATACATACCTTAATTGTGCCCAAATATTTCCTCTATCAGGTGAATAGAATGGTACTGTAATTCAATGATAGTTTATACGTACCTAAAATGTGCCCAAATATTTCCTCTATCAGGTGAATAGAATGGTACTGTAATTCAATGATAGTTTATACGTACCTAAAATGTGCCCAAATATTTCCTCTATCAGGTGAATAGAATGGTACTGTAATTCAATGATAGTTTATACGTACCTAAATTGTCCCCAAATATTTCCTCTATCAGGTGAATAGAATGTTAGCTGCCTACTGTAACTTTCTAATAGTTTATATGTACCTAAAATGAGCCCACATTTTCCTCTACCAGGTGAAGAGCCGCCTGAAGCCACTGGTTGAGAACCCGATGTTTTTAGATGGGAGAGTGGACGCACACCATGTCCGTCTGGCCCTTACTCAAGCAGAAACACTGGTCAGGTCCTATGTGGCCAAGGCTAACTTTGTCAGAGAGGTCCAGAGATATTTAGAAGTAAGTCATTTTTAGGATAAAAACAAAGCTTTGGTTATATGTGGGCAAAGGTAAGTTTGTTAAGCTGCTTTAAAAAATATTCCATTGCTTAATGAGCTTTGAATCTATTTAAGGATTGTGTGAAGGTTACGGCCAATCAGCATTTTATAACTATGTTTGTGTTACTTAAAATTGATTGCAGATGTAATAGTCATGAAACAAATATTATAATAGTAATGTTGGATATTAACCAAACATTTTACTACATATTTTTAAAGTCCATTTTTATTTTGTTTTAATTAGAAATAAACTTCTACAAATGACAAATTTAAAATGTATTTTTAAAAAATGGCACCTTAATTGAATACAAGTGGATGAAGTGCTAATTAATTGACTACTAATTACAGAAGCCAGAGAGTCAGTTTAAGGAACTGTTTGAGATATCCTCACGCCATGTCAACACACGCAACCTGTGGCTGCTCATTAGTTGTGCTAATTAATTAACTACTAATTACAGAAACCAGAGAGTCAGTTTAAGGAACTGTTTGAGATATCCTCACGCTATGTCAACACACGCAACCTTTGGCTGCTCATGGCTGACTGGGACACCAAGCTGGACAGGTGGAAGCATGTGAGTGGGTTTTTAGACTGGTGGGAACATGGGAGTGGCTTTTTAGACTGGTGGGAACATGGGAGTGGTTTTTTAGACTGGTGGGAACATAGGAGTGGTTTTTTAAGACTGGTGGGAACATGTGAGTGGTTTTTTTAGATTGGTGGGAACATGTGAGTGGGTTTTTTAAGACTGGTGGGACATGGGGGTGGTTTTTATAGATAGGTGGGAACATGGGAGTGGTTTTTTAGACTGGTGGGAACATGGGAGTGGTTTTTTAGACTGGTGGGAACATGGGAGTGGTTTTTTTAGACTGGTGGGAACATAGGAGTGGTTTTTTTAGACTGGTGGGAACATGGGAGTGTTTTTTTTAGACTGGTGGGAACGTGTGAGTGGTTTTTTAAGCCGGGTGGGAACATAGGGGTGGGTTTTTTAAGACAGGTGGAAGCATGTGAGTGGTTTTTTTAGATTGGTGGGAACATAGGGGTGGGTTTTTTAAGACAGGTGGGAACATGTGAGTGGTTTTTTTTTTAAGACTGGTGGGAGCATGTGAGTGGTTTTTTAGTTGGTGGGAACATAGGGGTGGGTTTTTTAAGACAGGTGGGAACATGTGAGTGGTTTTTTTAAAATACTGGTGGGAACATGTTAGTGGTTTTTTAAAACTGGTGGGAACATGTGAGTGGTTTTTTTAAGACTGGTGAAACATGTGAGTGGTTTTTTTAAAATACTGGTGGGAACATGTTAGTGGTTTTTTAAGACTGGTGGGACATGTGAGTGGTTTTTTAGACTGGTGGGAACATGTGAGTGGTTTTTTAGACTGGTGGAAGCATGTGTGTGGGTTTTTTTAAGACAGGTGGAAGCATGTGAGTGGTTCTTTTTAAGACTGGTAGGAACATTGGGGTGGGTTTTTTAAAGACTGGTGGGAACATGTTTTTTTTTTAAGACTGATGGGAACTTGGGAGTGGTTTATAAGACAGGTGGGAAAGCGGAATTGGTTTTTTAACGTAGGTAGGAACATGGGGGTGGTTTATTCAGAACAAGTGAGAACATGGGAGTGGTTTTTTTTAAAGACAGGTAGGAACATGGGAGTGGGTTTGTTTTTTAATGTCAAAGATGGAAGAATATGTGTGGGTTTTTTTTGTCTCTTAACAAGTGGACACTGGTAAGTGGGTTTTCAAATTTAAGACGTGTTTTTTTTTTTTACCTTAGTATTAAAATTAATTTTTGTTTACCTGGTTGCACTACAGTTAGGCCTGGGTAGAATGAACTAATGTAGGCAAATTCAATCCAGTACCACTGCAGTTATTTACCCTGCTACTTTAGCTCATGTGTGACATTCTGTTTGTTGCAGCAAAGTTTCACCACCCTGGATATACAGAAAATTAACAGCTACACCTTCAAATACATGGAAGCCTGTAACAAGCTGGAGAAAGTCTTGCCCAAGAATACTGTGGTCACTGTTTTTGGTGAAAAGGTTTGTTCTATTATCTGATTATTTCTATTATTTCAGATTAAAAACTTTATTGTTAGCTGAGGTTTATTGAATTATTCAAATGTGATTCATATAGGCCACATTTTGTTTAACTATTCAAGTATAAATCATGTTTTATTTATTTTTTAAAGATTCATAATTCTTTATTATCCTGAACAAAAAAGCGTATGTCATATTTATTTTAAAACATCAACTAACCAAGACTCATCAATTTTGTTATTATAAACTAACAGTATAACACTGTTTAATAAAATTTAATTTTAATATTAAAATCATAAATTATTTTTACACAACATATATGAAAAGTGGAAAATGCTGTGAAAGGTTTACTTGAGAATTGGGCTATTCTTCATGATTATGGCTAAAGAAAAAAAAAGATTATATATATATATATATATATATATATATATATATATATATATATATAAGCTAAAAATGTTTATAAAAATATGGTACACCATATTTCTACAACAACTCAGTTATGTTCTAAATAAACTGGCTTAATAATAGTAATATTATAAATGCCATCTGTTTTCTGTGGTGGCTGAATTTTATCATAGAGTTCAATTGTAATATCTTAAATGCCATCTGTTTTCTGTGTAGATGGATGTATGTGCTAAACTTTATCATAGCGTTCAGCAGTAATATTTTAAATGATGTTTCTGTGCAGATGGATGTCATGCTGAGGTGGCTGAACTTTATCATCGAGTTCCGCGGTCAGGCGGTCAAACCCCGGCACTGGAGGCAGATTGAAGAAGTGCTGGGGGTGGAGTTTGGAGACGTCCTGCCCTTGACCCTGGCCAGTCTCATGTCCATCAATGCAGTGGACAAACAGAAAGTGCTGCATGTGATTTTAAACAAGGCCAGAGCTGAGTCCAATGTGCAGAATGAATATGATGAGGTAATATATACAGGTTGGGGTGGTGAGGTAATATATACAGGTTGGGGTGGTGAGGTAAAATATACAGGTTGGGGTGGTGAGGTAATTTATACAGGTTGGGGTGGTGAGGTAATATATACAGGGTGAGGTAATACATACAGGTTGGGATGGTCAGGTAATACATACAGGTTGGGGTGGTGAGGTAAAATATACAGGTTGGGGTGGTGAGGTAATTTATACAGGTTGGGATGGTGAGGTAATATATACAGGTTGGTAGTGAGGTAATATATACAGGTTGGGATGGTGAGGTAATGCATACAGGTTGGGGTGGTGAGGTAAAATATAGAGGTTGGGATGGTGAGGTAATATATAGAGGTTGAGAATAGTGTTATGATGATATAGCATACACAGGTAAAGTATAAGCAAAGATAATGGTTTTAAATTGAGGTAAAATATTAATATAACTTTTGTGTGAGTCGGGAAATAAATAAATGTAATTATTTTACAAGGTACACCAAACTTTGTTTCTATAAGAAGAGGTTATGTAATTCTGTAAAAGATTTGTATGATATCAAAGTTGCCATGAATGACAAATCAATCTTATTATTTGTCTATAAGTATAAGTCATTTTAAAACTTTGTATGCAACCAAGTTTTATATATTTTGTGGGACGGTGTGGTCAAATGGTAGAGCTTACAACTGCTTGTCCAAAAGTCTGGAGTAAAAAAGTCTGGCTTGAGCTTATAGGACATCCCTGAGTTCACCCAGCTCTGATAGGTACCTGACTACATAAGGGCAACTAAGCTGACCATACTATCCCCCTGTATGTCAAGTTTATGATGATGTTTACTTAATCTGCCCCATGTATCATGGGCTCAATTTGAAAAAAAAAATAAACTTTGAATATAAGTTTATATACCATATATGTCTATACAAATAATTGAACCCTCAAGTAAGTCCATTTCTGATGTACAATGTTTTTACTGGACACCAGGTCTGTCGTCAGTGTACGGACCTTGTTCTACCCATCCACGTCAAGCAAAAATCTTTGTTAGAAAATGAAACTGCTGTGACTGTTTATTTAATGGGAGACACATTTGAGGTAGGTCTTGTTAACTCAAGTATCACCCCTCTCCCCCACCCACGCAGTAACAGGCTAGTTTGAAGTAGGAGATGTGTGGAGTTAAATTTTAAATCTTGCCACTCCCTCCCCCCCACCATATGCATAATGCTATTCATTAGTGTAGAAACTAGAATCTGGTTTAACTAAAAGTGCTGAAAATATGTAAGCATTGTTCTAATTTAAAGACAGCTACAATGTCTTGAAACTATGTCTAGAATCTTGATGTGTAACGTTGATAACAAAGTTTTGAAAAAACTACCCCCTATCAACTTTAAATGTCTAGAGACTTGGAATGAAATGTTGATAACAATGTTGAAAACTGAGTGAAATGTTTATAACTGTGTTGTAAACTTTGTACTGATCATAAACTATCAACTTTAAATGTTGAGAAACTAGGTGTTAAATGTTGATAACACTGTTGAAAACTTTGAGTGTAATGTTGATAAGAATGTTGTAAACTTTGTGCTGGTCAGATTGAAGAGTCCCTAAACTACTGTGTGATGGAGTTGGAGAGGATTGACCTAATGTTGATAAGAATGTTGTAAACTTTGTACTGGTCAGATTGAAGAGTCCCTAAACTACTGTGTGATGGAGTTGGAGAGGATTGACCTAATGTTGATATTGTAAACTTTGTGCTGGTCAGATTGAAGAGTCCCTAAACTACTGTGTGATGGAGTTGGAGAGGATTGACCTAATGTTGATAAGAATGTTGTAAACTTTGTACTGGTCAGATTGAAGAGTCCCTAAACTACTGTGTGATGGAGTTGGAGAGGATTGACCTAATGTTGATAATTGTAAACTTTGTGCTGGTCAGATTGAAGAGTCCCTAAACTACTGTGTGATGGAGTTGGAGAGGATTGACCTAATGTTGATAAGAATGTTGTAAACTTTGTGCTGGTCAGATTGAAGAGTCCCTAAACTACTGTGTGATGGAGTTGGAGAGGATTGACCTAATGTTGATAATTGTAAACTTTGTGCTGGTCAGATTGAAGAGTCCCTAAACTACTGTGTGATGGAGTTGGAGAGGATTGACCTAATGTTGATAAGAATGTTGTAAACTTTGTGCTGGTCAGATTGAAGAGTCCCTAAACTACTGTGTGATGGAGTTGGAGAGGATTGACCTAATGTTGATAATTGTAAACTTTGTGCTGGTCAGATTGAAGAGTCCCTAAACTACTGTGTGATGGAGTTGGAGAGGATTGACCTAATGTTGATAAGAATGTTGTAAACTTTGTGCTGGTCAGATTGAAGAGTCCCTAAACTACTGTGTGATGGAGTTGGAGAGGGTTGACCTAATGTTGATAAGAATGTTGTAAACTTTGTGCTGGTCAGATTGAAGAGTCCCTAAACTACTGTGTGATGGAGTTGGAGAGGATTGACCTAATGTTGATAATTGTAAACTTTGTGCTGGTCAGATTGAAGAGTCCCTAAACTACTGTGTGATGGAGTTGGAGAGGATTGACCTAATGTTGATGAGATTGTTGTAAACTTTGTGCTGGGCAGATTGAAGAGTCCCTAAACTACTGTGTGATGGAGTTGGAGAGGATTGACCTAATGTTGATAATTGTAAACTTTGTGCTGGTCAGATTGAAGAGTCCCTAAACTACTGTGTGATGGAGTTGGAGAGGATTGACCTAATGTTGATAAGAATGTTGTAAACTTTGTACTGGTCAGATTGAAGAGTCCCTAAACTACTGTGTGATGGAGTTGGAGAGGATTGACCTAATGTTGATAAGAATGTTGTAAACTTTGTGCTGGTCAGATTGAAGAGTCCCTAAACTACTGTGTGATGGAGTTGGAGAGGATTGACCTAATGTTGATAAGAATGTTGTAAACTTTGTGCTGGTCAGATTGAAGAGTCCCTAAACTACTGTGTGATGGAGTTGGAGAGGATTGACCTAATGTTGATATTGTAAACTTTGTGCTGGTCAGATTGAAGAGTCCCTAAACTACTGTGTGATGGAGTTGGAGAGGATTGACCTAATGTTGATAAGAATGTTGTAAACTTTGTGCTGGTCAGATTGAAGAGTCCCTAAACTACTGTGTGATGGTGTTGGAGAGGATTGACCTAATGTTGATGAGAATGTTGTAAACTTTGTGCTGGTCAGATTGAAGAGTCCCTAAACTACTGTGTGATGGAGTTGGAGAGGATTGACCTAATGTTGATAAGAATGTTGTAAACTTTGTGCTGGGCAGATTGAAGAGTCCCTAAACTACTGTGTGATGGAGTTGGAGAGGATTGACCTAATGTTGATGAGAATGTTGTAAACTTTGTGCTGGTCAGATTGAAGAGTCCCTAAACTACTGTGTGATGGAGTTGGAGAGGATTGACCTAATGTTGATAATTGTAAACTTTGTGCTGGTCAGATTGAAGAGTCCCTAAACTACTGTGTGATGGAGTTGGAGAGGATTGACCTAATGTTGATAAGAATGTTGTAAACTTTGTGCTGGTCAGATTGAAGAGTCCCTAAACTACTGTGTGATGGAGTTGGAGAGGATTGACCTAATGTTGATAAGAATGTTGTAAACTTTGTGCTGGTCAGATTGAAGAGTCCCTAAACTACTGTGTGATGGAGTTGGAGAGGATTGACCTAATGTTGATAAGAATGTTGTAAACTTTGTGCTGGTCAGATTGAAGAGTCCCTAAACTACTGTGTGATGGAGTTGGAGAGGATTGACCTAATGTTGATAATTGTAAACTTTGTGCTGGTCAGATTGAAGAGTCCCTAAACTACTGTGTGATGGAGTTGGAGAGGATTGACCTGTCCCCGCACAGCAGCTTCCTCCACGAGAGCCTGGAGCTTATCCTGCACAGGATATTCGAATCTCTAGAGAACATCGTCCAGTGGTCAGAGGTGCAGATGAAACTGACCAGAGTAAGTTAACCCCCCCCTCCCAGCCCATGCAACAGTTTGGTAAAGCTACAATATTAGATGAAACTGACCAGAGTAAGTTAGCCCCCCCCCCTCCTCCCAGCCCATGCAACAGTTTGGTAAAGCTACAATATTAGATGAAACTGACCAGAGTAAGTTAGCCCCCCCCCCCCTCTTCCCAGTCCATGCAACAGTTTGGTAAAGCTACAATATTAGATGAAACTGACCAGAGTAAGTTAGCCCCCCCCCCCCCTCCTCCCAGCCCATGTAACAGTTTGGTAAAGCTACTATATTTGTCAGATGAAACTGACCAGAGATAGTTACCCCCCCCCCCCCCCCTCCTCCTCCCAGCCCATGCAACAGTTTAGTAAAGCTACTATATTAGATGAAACTGACCAGAGTAAGTTAACCCCCCCCCCTCCTCCCAGCCCATGCAACAGTTTGGTAAAGCTACTATATTTGTCAGATGAAACTGATCAGAGTAAGTTACCCCCCCCCCCTCCTCCTCCCAGCCTATGTAACAGTTTAGTAAAGCTACTATATTTGTCAGATGAAACTGACCTGAGTAGGTTACCCCCCCTCCTCCTCCTCCCAGTTCATGCAACAGTTTAGTAAAGCTACTATATTAGATGAAACTGACCTGAGTAAGTTAAACCCACCCCCTCACCCCCTCCCTCAGCACATGCAACAGTTTGGTAAATTAAAATAGTAATGAAAACTTTCCTGAGTGAAAGAGTAAAAAAGTACAATTCCCCTTCAAACCTGACGGTCTATTGGGCAAGTGAAGTAGAGTTCACTTGTTTCTGTGACCTCGGCATATGAAGAGATAGTGTCGTCAGCACTAGGCCCAACAGCCTTTACTTTCCCTAACAGGAGTTAGATGCCCATCAGAGTTGGGTGGACTCAGGGACGGTCTACTGACTTGAACCCGGATTTGAGCTCAAGACTTACAAGTTAGCAATCGAGCTCTCTACTGCTAGACCGCAAAAGAGTAATTTGCCTAGTTTTTTATCATTACCTGATCTTTTGAAAGGTGTAAACAGAAAAGTTTCAGATAAAACTAACCAGTGTATAGAACAATCTAGTTATTTTAAGGATAAATAAATTACCTATGTTTACTTATGTTGGTCTGTTTTGTTTAGTTGCGAAGGCTGCTGATCCGCCATCCTGAAATTGTCCAAACCATGAGCACAGAGGCCAGCCACTACAAACACATTTTTATGGAGTATTCCAATTTCCTGGAGAGAGTCCAAGCTAACCCAAATGTCATTCATTGGTGCACATCACAAGAGCTGCGGGATTTAGTTGAGGTAAGGACTGACTTGTTTTATGTGGGATTAGTTTACACAAGAATAGATGTGTGATTTAGTTGAGGTAACTAATGACTTGTTTTATGTGTGATTAGTTTACACAAGAATAGATGTGTGATTTAGTTGAGGTAACTAATGACTTGTTTTATGTGGGATTAGGTTACACAAGAATAGATGTGTGATTTAGTTGAGGTAACTGACTTGTTTTATGTGTGATTAGGTTACACAAGAATAGATGTGTGATTTAGTTAATGACAGACTTGTTTTATATATGAATAGTTTATTCAAGAATAGAAAAATGATTTAGTCCAGTTAAATGCTGACTTATAAAATGGGCAAAATGTTCTAAGACACTCTTAATACTCCTCTGAGATGGAGAAATTAAAATTACTAATTAAAATCACCAGTAATTGAAGCCATGAAATCTTGAAACTAAATCTTGGGTTAACTAGTGGGCAGGGTAGGTAGTGAACAATGTCATTGTTAATATAAGCTAATCTGAGCTCACCCCCCCCCCAATGCATATTGTCACAATTCAGAACCCTCTCTCTGCCCCATGTGTGTGATGTCATTTATGTGAATCTCTAATGCATTTTTTAAATGCTGTGTGTGTTACTAAAACTGATGACATTTTATTTTCCACCTATTGATTAGAACAAGCTCACAGAGATTGTCAGCCTGTACAGAGTTTTCAAGCGAGAGATTGAGTTGAGGGGCTCAGCCACAGACAATGCTGGGAGGGACCCATTCCAGTTTGGTGTTTGACTTGTACCCATAACAGTAGGATCTTGATACTTGTTTCTAAAACATGTTTCTGATACTTGTATCCATAACAGTAGGATCTTGATACTTGTTTCTAAAACATGTTTCTGATACTTGTATCCATAACAGTAGGATCTTGATACTTGTTTCTAAAACATGTTTCTGATACTTGTATCCATAACAGTAGGATCTTGATACTTGTATCTAAAACATGTTTCTGGTACTTGTATCTCTAACTTGTTCCAGATACTTGTATCTATACATGTTGCTGAGACTTTTATCCATATCAGTAGGATATTGATATTCTGTATCTGCTACAAGTTCCTAATACATGTATCCATATCAGCAGGATCTTGATAGTTGTACCTGTAACATGTTCCCTATACTTGTATATGTAACATGGTCCTGAAACTTGTATCCATACACGTTGCTAATAGTTGCAGCTGTAGCAAGTTATTGGTTGAGGTTTTTTGTACTAAGGTGTTTGAGCTGTTTGTGGCATACATCAACATCAACATGTGCCTGATACTTGTATCACCACCAGCAAGTTCCTGATAATTATACCAAAATGTCCCTATTTGTAGCATACATCACTACTAATTTCAGCTCCATACTTGTATGATTCAAGTACCTTGTTTATTGTATACCAAAATGTCCCTATTTGTAGCATACATCACTGATAACATACGCTTGATACTTGAACCTTATAACAAAATCAAACATTTTCTTTTATGTCAATACCAGCAGCTTATAAAATCAGGACAAACTAAAACTTAAAAATATATTTTTTACTCAGGATCTTTTGTAAGCCCAATAAAAAAAAGTGTACTATAAATAATTGTTTGTTGGTTTTTTTTTTTTTTTTGCATGCTAACATTGTTAGTAATGAATTATATTTCTATCAGCTGACTTAGACTTTGATGGGGTGACTTGAGATTTTAATTTCCTGACTTTAGGATGATTGGATGAAGATATTTTAATCAGCTGACGACCATCCCACCTGCAGTTAATGAGATGACAATCGTATATTTCACCTGTTATCAGCCAGTGCATCTGGTAATTTAATTTACATGTCACAGGAAACAAGTTAAATAAGGGTAGATGAAGTAGAGTTGAGCTGTTGCATTGACCCCTGTATAAAGTAGGAATGTGTTTAGTTCTACGCCCAGCCGCCTTCACATCCTTTAATCTGTATCTATCCGTCAGAGCTGGGTGGGGGACTCAGGGTCAGACTTTCAGGGTTGTAGTCATACGTTCTAACCAACGACCATGCCATCACCAAAAGCTCACTGTTTCAAAGTCAATCGACCGTTTTACCAATCGTTCTATAAATGGTCGATAAACTCTTACACCAATGTAGACAATCGACCATTCAGCCTGAAACTTAAAGCGCTATCAATAGGTGTATTTGCATGACTATGGGTGAAACACTTTCATTCTGTAGACAGGACTTCACACGTTTGTATGTTTTAACAATGGAATACGCTGTTTAAAATGGATCCATGGACACTTCTGTACATTCTGGCATCTCTTGTGGGGGGGGGGGGGGGGGGGGGGCAACCGTCCCCCTGAGAGTTTCAAGGCCCCCACCCCCAGAGAAAAAAGTCTGAAAGAAACACTGCTTCTGTATAAGCTCAAAATGTACCATTGATCTTCCGCGGAGAGCTACTGAGCCTTTAGGTCTAGGACCTAGTCCTAAAGGCTCTAGGTCAGTGGCCAGATTAAAATGAAATGTTAGGTCAAGGCCAGTTTTCTGCTGGATATGTGCCTTTAGGTTTAGGTCATTTTTACTGGAAATAAGCCTTCAGGTCAAGGCCAGTGGTCTGCTAGAGGTCAACTACATGAAGTCAATGACTATTTTAGGATCGGCGTGGTTTTGCCGGTTAAGCTCAGAGCCGCTAAACCAAAAATTCTTGAGTTCGAACCTCGAGGCAGATGCGGTCTTTTAACCAATGCCGGCGTCATGTTATTTAACGCCCTATGCAAAACTTATTAAAACGACCCCTTTCACACAAATTAATTACTAAAACATATGTATAAGAAATTATTTAGGCCCTAATAATAAAATAGTTAATTAAAAGTGACATTAATTTATTATCAATTGCATACACGTTATAATTAGACATCAAAATCAAATTTTACTTGTCTCGTTCGTCTTAAAAGTTTGTACTAATTCCTTCAATTCCAGTTTGCAAGCATAATTACATTTTATTGAAACTGTTGCTAAGTCAACGAGTCTACTTTGTACTTTACGACATAGCCTCCCCCCCCCCCTAGAAAATTTGAAATGCTCCCCCCCCCCTTTCGGGAGAAAAAAGTCTGGAAAAAAAACACAGAAAAAAAAAGTTCCTGTAGTGTTGAGCTCTACAGTCCTCACAAGGTGATTTCTAAAACGGAACTTAACTGTTTTAAGCTTGATTATCTTTAGTTATAATTTTAAAATGTCTATATTTTGTGATTAAGTAATGATTTTTGTTTGTTTTTGAAAATCAAAAGGTTATAAATGTTATAGATTCCAGGCTAAAAAATATGAAAAGACAATTAACTAGATGTTTAATTTACGACTAAGACTGTATGTCTACTAACATTAAGTAGTCTACTGATGTTTGTTTTTCAAACTTGATAATGTTAAAAATACCTTCCAAACTATTTTTTTAGAACCCCTTAAAGCTCTGTATAATTTTTACAATAGCAAATAATAATTTAAAGTTGTATTTATATGTAAGCGGTCAACATAAGGTGCAGGTATTTGAAAGGAATGTAAAGTTAAGCAATGAATTATCTCCCATTTGAAAATCTAAATAACACAATTTTATTCAAGGGAAATAACTCACAATAATAGCTAAATTAACCAAGTGTAACTAAGACATGTTTAAAAAATACAATAAAATGCTCTAAATTTTATTACGTAATAATTATATAAAATCTTTTATATTAGCTATGTAACCTTGTTATCTATTGAATACTTAACTCTAGGTTTTGTTTGAAAGTCGAAAAACGGTAGCTTTATTATTATATACTTCTATTTAATTTTGATGACATGTATTAAAAGTCTGCAATCAGTTTAGTAATGTTAATAAATTTGGATCCCTTTATTAAAGAGTAGAATTAATGTGATTAAGTCCCCTGAATCAATCTTTCATCAAAGGCAGAGAAACTTAAAACCTTAAAAAAATAAAAATAAAATTTATTAAAGGGACGTCTTTTAGAAAATCAACATGGGTAATTGTTTTAGACACTGCTAGAATTATTGGTTAAATATTTAAAAAATTACAATTTAACAAAACAAAGTTTACGGTTAGTTATAAATTCCATCCTATTTAATATTATATATTAAAACTTTAAGAGTGGTAATATAGATTCCTAATAAACCGGGAGTGATCTCCCCTAAACTTTCTCGAATATTCTTATATAACTTGGAATGTATACATGATTTTTAATTACTTAAACTTTTAAAAATAGAATAGAATCTCATAGAAAAAACATTGCGCATCAAACAAACGCCGAAACAAAATGTGCATAATAGTGCGCAATATTATTAGTACTTTAAAAATTTACATTAGTTTTTTGAGAAATCGGAAGTAGCGTAAATTACTACTTCCGGTCAACGGAAATTACTCAACATTTAACAGAAGGTAGAGAATTAGATCTTTTACTTACATGTGAAATTTCATTTATCTATCTGAAATAGTACTCAAGTTATAGGCTTTTGAAAAATTCAAAGTAGAAAAAGTACCACTTCCGGTTGTCGGAAATCGCTCAAAAGTTGATACGGATCTACGATTTTGATATAATACTTATATATGAAATTTCATCAACCTAGCTGTAACGGTACTCAAGTTATCGTGTTTACACACAGATAGACACACAGACACACACACACACACAGACATACGGACAAGATTGCAAAATTATGTTTTTCCGTATCAGTGAGGTGTAAAACGTCGAGATTTGTAAAAATCTCGATTTTTTTTTTGCACGATTACAATACTTTCTCTATACTACGTATATACGAGAAAGTAAAAAACTAAAGATTTTTCAGCCTTTGTAGTGTGTTCCGTACTGAATTGAAATCATCTAACTTACGATACACTCGACTACTCGATATACTCTACTACATTCACAACACATATCAAACTTCGATACCTAAACATAACTAGACTCAATGCTCCAGAATTACGACACCAACTTGTTTAACTTCACCAAGCTCTACAAACAGTACTCCAAATCAACAACGATTTCACTGGACCTACTACTACACTTAGACAGTCAATATAATTCGATACCTATTACCACAAGAATCAATGCTCCCGAACTCCAGAACTACGATACTTCATCCCCTGCATTCTCATTTCACTATTACCAATCAAATTCCATCAGACCTTCAACTACAAAACAGCCGAATAAAAATTATGACACTTTAACACTTTGATACTTTATACCTATGAAACCATATCAGCAACAGCCTTCCGCCGTTACTCCCAAATCTAAACGATTCATCAAAACTTGCCAAACAAGTACAATACTTTGAACACCCCATCATTACAAAACTCTGTACACCAGAAAAGATTTCTAATTCAAAGTCAGAGAAAACGAGACTTACAAGCCCTATTAAAATTAGATAACTTTTTGAAATGTTCGAAATTTAAACTGCGAACTTATTTAATCGTTTTCTACATCCATTATGTGAGAACAAATTAAAAAGGCAAAGTGATTGGTAAAAAGCACCCGACCTTTCCAAATTAGGGAGGTGGGGTTGCATTTTCACCATCGCGAATAAATATAGGCCTATAGACATAATTTTGGGGTGGGGGGATTGATAGTTCGTCCTGGGTGCCGAAATAGATCGCTACTCCTTTATAAAAGTTATTAATTATTAGGTACTTTTTGATAATAGCGATTAAACATTTTGCGCCCCCCCCCCCTAGGGATGGCGCCCAAGGCGACCGCCTAGTTCGCCTTATAGGTAGCGCTGGCCCTGCTTTTAACTATGGACAGCAACTGCTTTATCTACTGACGGTACTTATAAGTACCACTTCAATTAAGTGCCTGTATTATTTTTAATTTAATACGAATTTTAAAAATTATTGATGTATTTAATAGTATTATCTCCCCTGAGTCGCCGGTAGTCGGAGGTATCAATGTTTTTTTGAAAATTACTGGTGTGGCGCTTTTTCAATGTCTTGCTATATCGGTAGTTCACAATTTTTTTGTACATTTCTCACACACGTTCCTGATTTCCCTTCGTTTTACCTTATTTTTCAAGTTTTCAACCCCAAATATTTTTTATTGGCACCTTCAATAGTCAGGCAAACGCATTTAACTTCTAGTTATACAATTTTAATCAAATTGTCTTTGTATTAGATCGATGTTTACAAGTGGACTTATAAGTACCGTCAGGGCACACGGTCATTTTTTTTTAGGATTTTTAGAAAATGGCAGATTTGTTAGGTGGAGTTACATAAATATTGTCTTGATAATTAATTATCGAAATGTACTCAAAAAATGATATTTACACATTTATAAGAAGGTTTGCATATGGTTTACCTAAGAAATATTGTAATTACATGTTAATTTCTAGTAGTAAAAAAATAACAAGAATAAAGGTATCAGTTGCAGGCTCGTTTACAAGGTTTAGTATACTTCATTTGTATACCAAAGCCTAGTTCTAGTTGTAAGATTTAATTTGTTAGTTATATTTACTGCAATAAACTGTCTTGCGTACAATAACTAGCATTTACATAATGTATACCTGTAGACTAGTAATATTCCATACTTCTGCATATAGTATAGATCTATAAGGTAAATTTTAATCAG